ATCGTTTCTGGATCGTGAGGTTGTGGGGTGGGTGTGGATAGAGGTTTCGGAGTGGGTCGGTCGTGGGGAGGGTCGGTTTGATTGTGTTCTGTCGAGTGAGTAGACGGAATGATCGTGTCGTTCGTTTCGAATGCGACATTTTTGCCCTGCAACGTCGTTGGTGGATCCTCTGACGCTTCTAGGTCATCTGTACCTGTCTCTAAGTCTTGCGCTGGCGGAGGTTCGTCGTCAATCGTCGAGCGTTGAAGCAGTCGTTGAACGAGCGCGGGACTCAACCCTGCGAACAACTCTCGCCGCTCTGCCTCGATTTCTTCGGGCGACATCTGCGCTATCCGTTGCTGATTATCCCGATCGATCCGCTCTCTCTCCGACAGTATCTTCTCTGGTTTTGCAACTCCCTTCTCCGCCACCCTATCACTCCGTTCTGGTATTGTCGACTGCGTCGTCGCCGCAGTCCCATCACCATGACCGCGAGCCTTCTTAAACGCCGACGTGCGATTCCGTTTCCTATGCGCCGGAAACCCCGCCGCGTTCTTGACCGTCGGAGGCGCGGGCGCTTTCGGGGTGGTTGACGAACGTTCTAGGACATCGTTCACGAATGAAAAGCCGACGGCCTGCTTGACGGGCGGCGAAGGGACGGGATCTTCCTCGTCATCGGAGTCCAGAGGGATATGGAATCGTTCACCGCGTATTTGAAAGGCGTGGGCCATGTTGACGATAATCCAGGGATATTGGTGATTCGGGTGTTGCTGATGCGCCGGGAGGTAAGGATGGATATGAGGCTCAAATCTCAAGAATTCCGATCGGGCAACAGCGACCGGGATGGGGATGTGCACGTGATTTGTCCCATCTCAAATCGACTGCTCGGGTTCCCGGATCGGGGAGGCGACCCTGCCAAGACCATGCCAAGACCCTGCAATGACGGGCATCGCCCTTTCCCCAGCGTCCACCGCTTTGCGCACGGGCCTGATCCAGACTGGGGAGGCTTCAGCCTTGGCGGATCAGGTGCGACTTGCTGATGGGAACGAGGAATCACGATTACCTGAGATCCGTGATGAACGATGCAACGGTAGAGGGTTCACAGCTGCATCGCCTTGAATGATGAGATGGGAACCCTACAATCAATTCGAAACTTGTCAACGAACCCGGGGTTTGAGTCGTGCGTGGAGATGGTTTGCGACTTCATGATGGTCGGGACGTAGTAGTGGGGACCCTGGTCGGTGATGCGCAGGTTGGCCGAACATCCCTGCTCTATATCCCTGTATTCAGCATCAGGCGTGCGAGTCACCACTCACCAGGCAGTCACAGACTCAAAGCAGGAGTCGGGAGCTAGACAACAGATACGATATACCTGTTCTCAACTCTCAAGAGGCTGAACGGTCAGATTGAAGGTTGATACGGTCTATGCTTCTACCCTTATCTCGACATATACGCTTGATAAACAGAATTTAGTATAGTGAATAGATGTCGACCCGGTGGAAGGGAACCGACCAAACGCTGGGATTGGGCGGGAAGCAAGTGAGATGTCTGGCGCTGCACCTCCAGTTGCGGGTGGCGCGCCGAGGAAGCCAAATGGAAACCCCAGCCACAGGTGTTGAGCCACAAGCGTATGACCTGCCTGGGCTGGGAAATTGATGCGTTAAATGGACGTCTGGACCAATCAGATGGAAGTTCTAACACTACCCCCGGCTGATTTCCCTTTGATGCTCAACGCTGGACTTCCCCGTTCCGCTCTCATGTTCCTGTTGCGTGATGTGGAGGTTTTTGGAGTTCCCGTTGCCTGCTGCTCTGGTCGGCCCAGTGGTCATGCTCATGGCCATTTAGTGATTCGGGTGCGAGGCTGATGTGTTCCCAATACTGGCCCGTTCCCCCCTAAATCCACCCGCTCTGTAGGCGCTCCGTCGGCTGATTTGGCTGCTCGGTCGCAGTGTTGATGCTCGTAATTCTATTGACGGTTCATAGAGTTTGGCTCCCCCAAGGCCCAAGTCCATTCCATTCCATGCGAATGAACAAGTAAATACAATCTGCTAATCTCATGTTGCCTGACCATCCGCACACGCCCCCTCACTCCCGTTCCCTTTGCTTTCCCTTTGCTGGCTTTGCTCTGCTGTTCCTAATTTGTTCCAGAGGTTCCAATCGTTTCGTTCGTTCCCTTCACCATCTTCATATCCGATACATCTCCCACTTTTCTCCCTTTCCCTCTCTTCCCTTTCTCCTCCTTTTTTTCTTCTCAACATCACCAACTTACCCTTTCTCAACTTTCAACCGTCCCAAACCATTCCGCGCCATCGCTTTCGATTCTACTTTCATCAGACCCGAATTCCCTCAACCTTCTGCATTCAGTATTCGATACCAGATCATCACTTAACCGGCACTGCATGCACCGACGGTCCGATACGATTTCCGTTCTCTTCGAGGTGGTGAGAGAGGAGTTGAGTGGAGGCCATTTGCTCCGTGTTATCGCGCTGGGGGATCGTGTGAGAGAGACTCAGGCGCGCGTTGAGGTTCCTGGTTTCAACTTGGGAGCATTTCCCGATCTGAAACACCTTGTACACCAGCTGCTCCCCCAAGTCATCCATCCCCCATCCCGCGAATCAGCGTTCCTGGCCATTTCCTCTTTCGGCCACCACACGTTCCTGTTCCTCCACCAAGATTCCCCATCACCACCCGATTGTTGGTGTTGAGGCTTTTCCTTCTCGCTCATTTACTCGTATCGAGACTTTTCCCGCATTCGATTAGCGTTGCATGGATAATTCCCGGACTGCATCCCTTCCACGATAATCCACCAGAATGGACGTCGACCAGCAAAGTTCCTCTCCGGCTTTGAGTTCGGCACCACCCACCCCCGAAAACCCGCAATTCACGCCGCCGCCGTTACTCGGCCCGCCACCCAACGCGTCGCATCATCCCCATGAAGCTTTTGGGATGAACTCGCAATTCCAAAATAATCACGATGTTGCCACTGCCAAGACCTCCGCTACGTCAACCTCCAATACCGCTGCATCCGCATTGACAACCGTTACTGCACCGGCTAAACGAACCAGAAAAAAGCGAGAGGCCGCTGCACCCGCCGATGAAAAAGAAAAGAGCAAGGAGAAGAAACCGCGCAAACCCCGTGCAACCAAACAATCCGTCGCAAAAGAATTATCACGAACGCAACAGCCTGCAGCTACAGCTGCAGCTCCACCGGCCACCATCCCTTCATGGACCGAACGCAAACCGCGACCACCGCTCATGTTCCCACAGATGCCACGGAGTCCATCACCCGTCCATGATCCCGTGATCATGCATCAGTCACCGCCGAATCCGCACCCCTCCGCTTCCTCCATGCCGTCGCCTCCGATGCAATCCCGAGGAGAGCCGCATCAAAACGTGTACACCAATCCGAACCTCAGTCACATTGCCGCTCCATCCACCCCTCGACCGGCATCGCGAGGTCAAATCTTCGACCCGATCCGTGGTGCCGCTCGTGAGAATACCGCGTCCCAGAACGCTCCGGTTTCTCCATCGCATCCACATGTGAATCGAGCGAGCGCATCACCTTCGATCACTTCGCTGATCGATCCCCCCGTTGCTCCAGCTCCGCATGCATCGCGCATCGGTTCGACGTCTGCGCCGTCCGTTCCCGTGTCACCGCACGCATCGATAAGCCGGCCGGCACCGATCCAAAGCAATGGATCGACCATCAACCAACCACTTGTCCCGCCGCCTCCCACCGCTCTCCTCGGCACCGTCCCTCCCCCATCCAACTTCCCGACAGAAATGGAAGTTGACCAACCTTCAAGCCGCCCCGCAACCACAGCACCACCCAGCAAGTCCGCAACCCCCTCGAACGCTCCCACCCCACCCACGAAACCTGCACGCGCCAAAGAAGCGCCCCCGCCCCTTCCTGGCTCCGGCCTCCTTCCTTCCATCGGTGGCCCATCCTCCACCAACGGCACCAGCACCAACGGCAAATTCGGCGCCAACATCTGGCTCACCTTCCCGCTCAAGGGCCGCACCAACGTAACCATCAACTATGCACGCGAGGTCGAGCAAAAATACGGCTTCGCCGCCCTGCATCCCCGCTTAGCCGCGCGCAACGAGCGGAAGCGCCTGATCGCCGCGGCCGGTGCGGATCTGGAGCGAGAGATCAACGCGAAGAAGCCGAAAGGCAGCGGCGACGACATGAGCGTAGATTTGTCCGACGAGGAGGCGGTGTCGGTTGACGAAGCAGAGAATGAGATGAGCGGCCTCGAAGGGCAGGCGGCGAAGAAATCGAAAGGAAGCGAGCCGCATCCGATGATCAAGGAGATGGGGCTCGATCCGGAGCTGTATTACGTCGGGAAAGACGGGCGGCTGATCCGTCGACGGAAGCGGAAGACGGAGGACTACGATCGTAACGACGACTTCATCGACGACACCGAGATGGCGTGGCAGGAGCAGGCGCTCATGGCGAAAGACGGCTTCTTCGTCTACTCCGGCCCACTCGTCGTCGAGGGGGATAAACAAGTCGAGCGGTGTGTACCTATTCTTCTCCTCTCTAAACTCATCGCTAATATTCTATCCCAGCGCCGACGGCTCCACTTCAAAACCCCCCTCTACCCGCGGTCGCGGCCGCGGCCGCCGCTCGGCCACCCACACCCATGGCGTCACACACGCGGACCTCGCCGCCGCACACGCGCAAATCGCGCCAGCGCCGGGCGCCGCCCGCTCAGGCAGCGTGCCCGCGCACTCGCTCCCGATCAACGCACCGCCGGCCAATCCGCACGGCACGGTGGCGCTGCGAGCCGACGGGCTGCCGACGTCCGGGCCGGGGAGCCGTGGTGGGCGGGGCAGTCGCGCGCGGGGAGGGACGACGGTGAGGAAGCCGCGCGTGACGAAGGCGGAGAGGGCGAGGATGGATGAGGAGAAGAGGGAGAGGGAGAGGGTAGGGGCGGGTTTGAGGGGCGGACATCATGGGGTGGGGAATCATGGGGGAGTGGGGTTGGGGCAGGGGGAAATGGGAGGGGGAGGGGCGGGGAAGACGGCGGTGCCGGTGTTGGGGGTGCCGACGGGGTTGACGATGCAGGCGGCGTATCCGGGGCCGGGGCATTGATCGACCTTCGGCACAGTTGCAACCTGCGAATCATGTCCGGCGGTCGACACATTGCAGTGTGGACGATCTTTCACTGAGCGACCTCACACACGACGATTTCCAAATGAACGACGAACAACATCCCGAGATGGAAAACCTTTACAGCGCATTAATAGGACGAACCGAATGCCCTATCCATCCGACATCCTCACCCTCAACTCCTTCCCCCCCCCCTCCCTATCCAACAGCGTTTATACCCTACCCTTCCCCCCTCCATTCTTCCGTACGCGAACGATTCCCTGGACGGACGGCGTCCCATCATCAGTCATCATCATCTGCATTCCGGCGTTCTAATCAATGCGTCTTATCTGACATCCTTCCGAGATGTCACGGCATGAGACTTTCTCGCGGGTACCATCCGGTTCGGAGTTCCTCGGTTTTTATTCTCGCCAGTGGTGCGCGATGTGCGGGGTTGGCATTAGGGTTATGACACTTACTGAGGCGAGCTGTTGCGGAGGCAGGGCCAGACGCAATGGCAGGCAGCCGAGGGGCTTGCGTGACGCGTTAGGGGTTCTTGTATGAGTATGACAGAGGGGACAAGGTATGAGGGTATGATGAGGGTGATAAAAGGGAGAGGGAACAGGTGTGTGTATAGTGGCGATCCATTATCCATACGGTATGGGATCTATGCCGCAAAAATTATAATCATGGACTCAAGGCTATGAATGCGTGACGCTCAATTAATAGGCTCGTAGCCTGCTGATTTGGACCATGATATCCCCGTCTATCGAACCCCCTTCACTCCTCGCTCGCCAACCCCTTCACTCCTCCCTTCCCAAACCCACCAACGCCAACCCCTCCGCCACCCTCGCCTCCCCCGCCGCCCGCATCACCTCCCGCCACGTCTCCACCCCCACCCGCTCCCCCTCTGGCACCACCCGCCAATTCGGGCTCGGCGTGGCTTTCAGCCATTTGAAGTCGTCGACTTGGTCCCAGAGGTCTCGGGCGGGTGTGGAGGCGGTCGTATCGTCACCGATCTATCCATTCCCCCATTAGCATTCTTCTCTCCCGCTTTCTTTCACGAAACAAGGACACTCACCGGTTCTGATAGTTCAGCAGGATAGGGCGCAAACCCCAACCCTTCCACATCCTCCACAATCGGCCTTGACCCGCACCGCAAATACACAGCCCCCCCCTTCCAATCATGCAACCGCAGCTGCCCCGCGTGCTGCAGGAGGAGCACGCAGTCGCGCAGGTGAGTGGCGTGCACGGGGCCAGCGACGGGGCCGATGAGGATGAGGCAGCGGGAGAGGTGGGAGAGGTGCAGGGAGGAGAGGGGAGCGGGGAAATGGAGGAGGGAGGAGGTGGCGGTGGTGATGTGCGGGGCAGTGGAGGGGGAGGGTGGAAGGGTGATGAAGGTGTTGTGCCGTGGGGGAGGTGGCGGCTCTAAGGGAGCGGTCGGCGCTTCTATGTCCTTCTGCAGACTCGGCTCCATCGCCGCCGCGCTCACCCTCCCCTCCCTCACCCCCACCCCCCTTCGGAACGCAAACCGCCCACCGCCCCTCCCCCCTTCCACCCTCACCCTTTCCAACTGCCCCGCCAGCGCCTTCAGCGCTTCGGCGTAGGTGCGCTGATCGTACGCGGGGACGTAGGATGCGGCGTCGGCGACCTCATGGCGGAGGCGGGCGACGCCGGCGAGGAGGTGGGCGAGGGCGTCAGGGCGCTCGGTGGGGGGGAGGGTGGGAAGGAGGGTGAGTTGGGATTGGAGGGCGGTAAGGTGGTGGTGGAAGTGGTGGTAGAAGGTGGTGGTGAGGGGGGTGGGGGTGGGGCTAGGTGAAGAGGGGGAGGGGAGAGAGGGCTGGGTGGGTTCGGTGGACATTTTGGAAGGGGGATGGGGATGTTCGAGATGTTGGGGGGGTTCTCTGGTAATGGTTAGGATCTGCTAGGAGTGGATAGAAGGGAACATGGGGGCACTCACAGGCCGGTTTGGGAATTGGGTGACTCTATAAGTTATTAAGGTGGGTTCTAAGTAACTCTTCCGGGTATCCAGGAGGTGTATCAGGCGTTAATGCCACTCTAGTAATGAGTCGTGTGCTATATCGCAGTCCAGCAGCTCCCACCATGCACCCCATGCAGTGACGTATGAGGTAAACAGCTCCAGGCACATGTACGTAACAATGGCTCATAGAGCAAATGACCCCAGACTTGAAGAAAATATGAGTCTCAAAGGTTTATGATTAACGTCAAGAGCTTCTTAAAGTGTCTTCAGCATTCTCGTGGAGGGGAAGAAAAGCCGTGAAATGATATCGTGGGATCACCGCACGCTCTCTCTTCCAACCTTAGAAAGTCGAAAATTTACAAATGAACCCCGTACAACTGAATTGAGTGTCGCGTGAGCTATACAAGGCTTGGAGTTATATAAAATGTGAGAGACGCTACTTCGTCCCTGACCACCACCTTCACATCCTTGCGGTTTGCAGCGGTTTGCAGCGGTTTTGTGGGGGAACGGCCGGATATGCGATATCAGCGAACCAGCCGCTGTTGGCGCCGAATGCCCGGCGAATATTATTGCATTTGAGTGATTCGCGATTATATAGGTTTCGCTTCAGGCATTGCAAGGCTTCCGGGATGAAATAAATGCACAGTTTTAAGATGGTAGAGGGCGTTGGTTGCAATATTCATCGTGAGAAGGAGCTGCATTTGGATCTTTACAAAGAATGGCACAAATGGCTAGTACGAACAACATTGCATCCTGGGTATACTTTCGCCGAAGAAGATGGCAACGATGTAGTTTGGCATCACGAACAAGACTTCGAATCTGCATGTTCTTAACTCTGTATGTACAATTCATATGCCAGGTCCCAAGACGCCATGCCATGTTCCGAGGCCTGGCCGCTACCTGCAGCACCCAAAAGGCTCGGCTTAGGGCCGATCAGCTCGTACAACCGGGCAATTCAGCAATGCCCAGCGTGAGGCCATGAAAGGCTCTCATATCGGCAGGAGTCTGCCAATATTCCATTCATTGAGCGATCTATTGTACAGGAACCGGGTCGATGTCCACGCCGTACCGCTCCTTTATCCTCTGTCGTCTTCGCTCCTCATACCCGGGAGCTTTGATACCTGCAGAAATTAGCTCAATGGCCAGCCTCCAGATGCCTGTGGAACGTACCTCTACCCTCTCCCAGCTCGGAGATCGTCTCCTCAATCGGCCTCCGGTAATTGTTCATGATCTTGTTGTATTTCTCAACCTGATCTTCCTCTCGATCGATCGCCTCGCCGAGGGGTTGTGGATTGAAAAGGTTCCCTCCTGTCAGATACTCGTACCCGCCCATCCAGACTGCGGAAGCGGTGGCGCTTCCGATAATGGCGGGGATGGTTCTCCCTGTTTATAGAATGAGCCAGTGTGCTTACACAAACCCTGCTCTACTTACTGAAAGCACCGACAGCAGCACCAGCAGCGAATCCTCCCAGTGCGTTGTTCCAATGATCTTTCTTCTGTCGTAGGTTGGCGGAGACGGATTTGACGAATTGATATGACGCTCCACCGACAGCTGAGCGTTCCGTTAGCAATTGACCGTGCCGCTTCATGGCTCCAATTGAAAGGCGACGTACTGAACATGGCAACGGTGTTGCCGTATCGTGTGAAGATACCGAACGCGCCGATATTCTGCTTCGTAAGGGATGTTTGGGCGGCGGCCAGGAGACCTCCAGCACCGAAGGTTATGGCGGTGGTTTTGATGGTGGCACCAATCGCATCTTCCGGCTCATAATGGCCGTCCGAGCCATGATTTGATGGAGCCATTATGGCCTTGAATGGCAGGAATGGAGGGAATTGGCAAGGTGGTTCATTCAAGCTCAAGTATCACGGAAGAGCAACTGAAGTTGAAGCTGATGGTGGTGAGGGTTGATTAGTCACACTAGCATCGCGCACCAAACATAATATACGCCAAATAAAGACTAGTTCGTATCATACAGCAATAGATTTCATCCCTACCAATAGAATCCACGCAGATGAGCCTCAACGTCGGGTGTCGATAGCCTGAAGGTGCAGGACAAACTGGGCCAACTGTAGATGGGACTGTATTTCCTATAACCAGCTCGGGATGGAAGGTTGTTTGCTCAACCGATCCTCTCTGAGCTTCTGATCCCTATTATTTCCTGTGCAGAACCACTGGTAGATCTGCTGCGAGCCTCATCCCTTTGTTCCCCGCCTCGACGCGCCTCTCGACTGGTATATCGGATGCAGCTTAGAAAACCCTTCAAGTTGCTCAGAAGAACAAACAGAGACCCGTTAGTAGCGTTGTGTAGTTAAAAGTGAGCCCGTCGAATCTCCTTCTGCCTTAAGGACGCTGCAATCCTGTCCATTTGCCCCCATCCGTCTGCGCACGTCCTTGTGACCATCGTCACATCGAATTCGCACGCGTCACCGCCTCCGAGACGGCATTTCTGCCTAGGCGCCTCATTTCCAAGACAGTGGTGTTTACTTCAAGTCCATTCGAATAGATGAGAAATTCTCTGCTGATCATCAACTTGCCTAGGTGATATTATTCCTTCGTGGTTGTGTTGAGTATTCCGCTCCTTCCGCTCCGTCCCCCGCCGTCTCTCCGCGTCCATCGAATTCGACACAACTCTCCACTGCCGCATCGTGGTCTCAGTCGCATTTCTTCTTTTTCTCTCCATTGAGACGACACACATCCTCATGAATACCCTGCCGCTTGTCTAGTGTTTCTTGTTCCATTTCTCACCTAGAATCTGCGACACCGTCATCCCGAACCAACATCCGTCCGATACTACCACATACCTCACCTCCTCTCCGAATCCGTCGCAATTGAAATAAGAGTCTGTCACTAGCTTCACGCTTTGTGTGAAGTGGTTGTTGAAGGAGGACATCCCCTTACTCGATATTGGCCGAAATCTTCCTCCCGACATATACATTCACACCATCAGCTGGCGTGACTGGTGAGGGCCTTGTTGGGTGTGGCCTTCAGGAGAGAGCGCGGTCACCCGCCTATGCCTGTATGAGTACGAGTTCATCTTGGGTAAATCGCCTCGAGTGAGCTTACTCGAAGTATTGGATATGGCGCAACCCCTTGTAATGAGTACCGGTAGGCGAATCTAAAAAACAATCCACAGGGCCGCATATACTCATGTTCTCACAGCGGGAAAGACTTCCCCCCGGATACTCGAAGATCTTCTCCGTTATGATCCAAGGTTGGAGGAGCGAGCCGAGCGGAATATTTTGGCTTCTTTGCCCCACCGATTCGATCCCCAGGCGAGTACTCGGAAACCAGCGATCCCTCAGGGGAGCTGTTCCCATATTCTCATCCTCAAAGCGGATGAAAGCGTCCTGCCAAACACAGATACGGTCGCATGGGAGGAAGGCACCAGACTGAAGGTCGCGACGATATGTTCTCGGTGCAGATACCATTTTGACTTGTTTGTCCAGCATAAACGTCAAGGTGTAGGACAGCCATGTGGGACTGGGAAAGGGGAGCCGTTGCACCATTTCGCTTGCCGTGGCATATCGCATGGGGAATATATTGATCCCACCGACCTCACTGCGGATCCGAGAACGCCGTCCTCCTCGACTTTCGACTTTATATGCCAGTTCGAGCAGTGCCAAATGGTTCTGAAGGTGTTGTCCCGTCCACCAGCAATTCTGCCTGAGGATTATCGGCTCCTCATGGACGGAGATCGGCTAGACGCAAGACATCGGGCCGTTCTGAAGGAGCATAGAGATGTAAAACCACAACCGATCCCAGCTATGGTTCTTGCCACCCTTCGGGTGTATATTGGCAATGCTCTAAATCCGGACTGGTTGCCGAGGACAATCCCGTTCACCCATAAGACGTTCTTGGCCTTGTTTGGAACGGATACTCAGACATTCCTGCATCGACTTGGGTTTACCCCCACGGCAGAAGACCATCCGGATGGGCTTGGGAGGTGGATCCCACCGATTCCTACTGACAGTGAGGATGTATGGAGAAGACCGGACAAGCGTACATACCTGCAGGATGTCTATCAGGAACTCGGCATTGTTCTTTGGGACTGTAAACCTCATGAAAGGGAAGAGGTTGCGTCAAGAATGGAGATTTATCCGCTTGTCACAAAGGTCAATGCAGTCTCTAGTATAGAGAGCATTCTGAGCTGTGCAGGATGTGAGTAATCGTTGGCATACCCTCAACGCTGTGTGCGTTCTAACGTTTGTTCAGACGAGAAAAAGCCAGGGGCGAGGGCAACACGTTCAACACGATCCGACGAGGAAGACCATCCGTGAGTTTCCGCACTTAGGGGTTCGTTTACATCGCATGTGTCGCTTACACTTCACCTAGACATTACGCTTCACTCGGTGCCGTCGCCGACTTCTCTGACAACTTGATTCTTTTCGCATGGAAAACGCAGTCATTCTTTGACAAACTCGACCACGCTTATTACCTTGATTGTTTACGGGGAATTGCCCAAGGTCGTGGAAGTGAAGCCCTTTCCGTGGAGGTGGCACTCGCAGACTCACGAGGGGTATATGATCGCAAGACTATCGACAACGCTTTTCGTTGTCTCGGTATCGATCCTCAGAAAGGCCCCACCCTCACGGGAGAACAAATCCTCAATCACTACAACGTTCGCTACCAAGACGTTGGTGAAAGGACCAGGATGGATATGAGGGAGATGAGAAAGATCCTTGCCCATGTCTTTGACCTTCAATGCCTCTCTGACAGTTCGGATGGTATGTGTTTTAGTCCTTTGTGCTTAGGTTGTTGCTCACGGTGTTTAGAGTTGTTGGATACCTACGAAGCCTGCCTTCGGTTTTTAGAGGCTGATGATTCCTATAGCGATGAGTTTATTCAGGTGGCGTATCAAACCAAGGTGAAGACCAGAGATAGCAGTGAGGTAAGTCATATTCCTGATTATTCTTCCAACCTTCTGGCTATTTCGCCGCGAACAATGCACATAATCCTCTACTCACGATATGCGTAAAACACCCACGTGATTTTGATTGTTCTTGAACTAACAATACGAAAGGACCGCAAGGGGGAAGCTGATCGAGAGGTAACCCGCGCCCGACATGCTCTCAAAATCATAGCAGAGCGGCGACACTCCGATGCCCTCATGGCATTCGTCACGGCCGAGATCGACGATGACGATGTCACCCAAGCCTTCAACTTCTTCAATATCAAGGAACGTGACGGGTACATCGATCCGGAAATGATCGATATGTATGCACTCACCCATCAGCAAGACAACCCATTCAACTGGAACGAGATCGAGCGCCACCGCAAATCGTTGGTCCGACACATTGCGCGAAAATTCCCGAGTGGGCGAAGGTATTCTTACCTGCAATCACACTCCCCCGAAAGCGATCCGAAGGATCATCCCGTGGGCTTGAGGAATATCGGCAATACCTGCTACCTGGCAAGCGTCCTGCAGTTTTTGTACTCCATTCGACCTTTCAGAGATGTTATCCTGACATTCCCTGGAAACGTGGACGATAATGTAAATGGTAAATTGATCAACGGCACTATGTACGGAAGCAACGAGGTCGCTCTTGGCCGAGCGTTCGTTAAGGAGTTGAAAAAGCTCTTCATGGAGATGTCTACCTCCCAAGTCAGAGTGGTGGAACCGTCACGAAACCTTGCGATTCTCACGTTGCTCACCGGCGCCCAGTACAATCATCCCAGCAGTCCGGCAATGCGCCGTCGGTCAACTCTCAGCGGCGTGGCACACCCGGTGGGACTTGGGGTAATCGATGGGCTCGCCGTTCAAGGCCCTAGTCTCCCGCAATCGCCGACTCTCATGCGCCGTCTTACCATCCCGGCAACACAAGAGGAAAGCGACCAGGACACTCTGATTGGCGAGTCAGACAAAGCACCTCGTCATACCGATGCCATGGATGTGGATCTCCCTGAAGCAAGCCCCAAGTCGAAGGCGGGAGAGAAGGGTGGAGCAACGCTTGAAGCCCTCCTGGCAGAAGAGGCTGAACAAGAAAAACCCGATGAACAACACAAGGCTGTTGGGATGGAGGGTGATAGACAGACCAAACCAGAGAACGCTAGTGGCTCGGTGGCGAAGAAGACGACCTCGCTGGTCGAAACCAACGACCAACAAAAATCCAATGCAGCTGAAGGCTCAACCACTGGAAAAGAGTCTCCTGACGAAACACAAACCGATCCCAAAACCACAAGAACCGAAGCAGCTCCTCCCAAACCCAATCGACCTCCACCCATCCCACCTCGCCCCAACGCTGACGAGGAGAGGTTCCATGAAGCAGAGGCCGCCTCCCAGCAGCAAGACGTCAATGAAGTGATGGGATTCATCAATCTCAAAGTCCAGTGGGCCATCAAGCAAAGGAGCGGTCAAGGGTTCGAGAAGCCAGGCGACCCAATCCAGGATCTCTTCTACTGGAAGATGTTGAACTTCAAACCTGGCGAAATGAAAGCATACCATTCCCAGCTCCAGACTGAAATCACTGCATACCTCCACGAAGGTCCCCGGCATATCTACGACGTGCTGGATGGCGAATTTGGTCTTGAACCCGTGCACGACCCCTCGCACACTCGAGTCATGTATACTCGATATGCAGCCATCGACGACCCCTCTCCGTTCTTTCAAGTGTCGGTTGCTCGCGCCGTGATGAACTACGAGACGAACCGGGCCGAGAAAATTGAACACAAGTTGGAACTGGTCGACACGCTCTACTTGGACCGTTACATTGCATCGGACGATCAAGACCTCTTGAGGAAGCGCGAACAGTCATGGAAGCTTCGCAACGAGATTGAAGAACTCAAGGAAACGGCCAAGGCCCAAGAGAGCGTAGAGTCACTCAAAACCCTCCCCGATGCCCTCACCACACTCGCCGAATATTTTGAAGCAGAAGAATTATCTGGCCCTACCAATATCGCAATTGACACCGTTACTGACAGCGTCAAGGTGAACGATGACAATGCAGCCAAGCGCAGAAGCACCGCCGAGCAGACGGAATCTCCACCAGCGTTGAAGAGAGCGAGATCCAACTCTACGTCTATACCGTCAGGAGCAATGGCTCTCTCGCAGAAGCTGACGCAGACCGCCCTCGAGTTCGGCAAGGACAAGAATGGAATCGATGAGGGTATCAAGGCTGCCGAGAATCGCCTGGAGCAATTGTTCGATGACGAGACATACAAACAACACAAATATCGTCTCTTTGCTGTCTTCATGCACCGAGGTGGAGCCCATGGCGGGCACTACTGGATCAATATCCGCGACTTCTCCCGAGGTCTCGACGATGCCAACGCCTGCTGGCGAAAATATAACGACGAGAGCGTCCGTGAGATTGCGGATTGGAAGAAGGAAGTTTTCGACCAGGAGGAGCAACACCCCGCGACGCCCTACCACATCGTCTACGTCCGGGAGGAGAATATCTTCAGCCACACCCAACCGCTCTATCGCGACATTCCCGAACCTGAGATTGTTACCGAGCAGCCAACTCTCGATAAGACTGCTCCTGTCTATCCCAGTCCTTCCAATTCATCTCCGGAGCGCGAGGGTGGAATTCCGAAGTGGGTCAAGGATGACGGACGAGATACACAGATGTTGGATCCGCCCCGTCAGTCGGTTGAGAAGACTAGTCGTCTCGCTGACCGAGACATTCCAGAAATCCGTAGCGATATCGAGATGAAAGACCTCTCCAGAGCGGGGACGATGGATAGTGAGAGCTCCGACATCATCCATAAATACGGAATGACGATGTTGAATGACGAATACGATGACGAGGAGGTAAGGAGCAAACGCCGACCTCAATAAACTACCAACAACAACTCCGAGTCTACCGTTTCCTACCTTTCATATGGACGCGCTGGCTCGCGATTATTTCAGAACTCAATGTCCTCAGCTCGACCTTTCCTTTTGTACTCTCTAAAATTCCCTTCGCGACGCAGCGCCCATCCCCAGGTCGCTCACGCTCCTATCCGCCAAATTTCGACAACAACCGTTAACAATTCGGTGCACCACTGACGCTGGCTCCGCAAAAGCTCTTGCAGGACCTGGTCACCTCCGACAACGAACATGGCCTATCGAGCGATGACACGATGGACATGGGCGATGATCTTGCCAGCATCCACTCGATCGATCGAGCGAAGCCGGTGGAAGCGCCGGAGTTTTTCTAGACGCCTTCTCATTTGCGCTACTTCCACCGATACGAACCCACCCCTTTGCTTCAGCGTGTATGATTATGAAATTGCAGTTTGGTCATGGAAAGACGGCCCGCCATGGGGTTCCCAGGAACCGAAGTTGCTGCTTTTGGTAGTTGTGAAGGGAAGGGAACTCTGGACCGTCTCTTCCGTGTTTAGGAAATGATACCCCTGGAGGGATGGAAGACAACATTGTATATTAGAGATGGACAGGGAAGGACTTCCAGCAAAATCAAGGTCTTTTCCCTCATTTCGATACCCCTTGGGTATTCCCTTCTCCATGCGCGTCTCTTGTAGGTTCATCAGCGTACGCAGACGAGCACAGCCCGGACAAGTGCTTGGATTGTTCCCATTCCTCAGCACTTCTCTCCCCTATAGGACGTGTTGATTTTTGAACTCTCACTAGTACTTTCTGTTCCTCCAAATAATCGGCTCTGGCTTTAGGTTAACAAGATACTTTAGAGAATTAGCCTCACTCCATCGCATTTAACCTGAGCATAGGATGCGAGTTCGAAATGACTTCTCACGTAGCGTAGGTGGGGGGTGACCGCGATACATTGAATCGTCGGAACTTCTCCACTGATCCATAATCTCAGCACCGCTAATAATAACCGGCCTAGGAATTCCAACGTTGTAGTTCACCAAGTAGAGCGGCTCTTCGTTTTGTTGATAACTAGTTACCGTAAGGTAATCTTTCCGCATGATCTCGGAGATGTTCTTGGACCATATCCATAATCCCTGAAAAAGCGATGACCGAAACTCACCATGATCAATTATGAGATCATTCGATATTTCGCAGACAGAACACTGCCAATCAGACTTTTCGCGTTCTCGAATTCCCTGATGATTAACCAGTCGCTATCTGAATTTCATTCATTCTGCACTAATCAACGGGTTAGAATACAATCCTGATATGGATATGGATATCATCGTATGGGAAGGCTTGTCAGATGACTGAATACACAGAAGCCGGCGTCAAATGGTCCCTCGTGTCTTTGATTCAAACAACGCATTCATATACTTGCGATGGAATGCATGATCACCAAAGAAACGAGCCTGGATAATCCGATGTGCACTCCTCAGTCGACTACTCTCAACAATTCAGCCTATCTTCCACCCCGAACCCGCTCAACATCTCTATAAAACCCCCCCACCACCATGGACCTCACCCAAACCGCCCTCTCTCCTTCCCCCATCCCTAAACCCGAAATCATCAACCCCACCTCCTTCGGCGCCCGCCCCCCTCCCTCCTCCCCCACCGACCGCCTCGCCGACATCGACCGCCTCGCCGACATTGACCACATGGGTCGCGTCACCCACAGCAGGCACCTCGGCCCCCACCCCAACGCCACCTTCCTCATCCGCGACGCCGACTCTGGCCACGCACTCACCCTCATCGATGGCGAGCCGCTCCTCTCGCCCCCGGACAAGAGCGACCGGTCGTTCCACTGGACGTGCGTGGAGACGAAAGGGTGGCTGGGGTTTCGGAATGAGGTGAGCGGGTGGTTTCTGGGGCATGATGAGGGTTATTTCCTGCGGTGCGCAGCGGAGTGGCAGGGGGTGTGGGAGGGGTTTAAGGTGAAGGTGAGGCCAGATGGGGGGTTTGTGTTGCTGGCGGAGCATGATGGGGGTTTGTGGTACGTGGGGATGAAGGTGGAGAATGGGATTGAAAGATTGGAGAAGGTAGGGGAGGGGGAGGAGGGGGGGATGACGTGGGAGTTTATTAGAGTTTAAGGGAAGATGGGCGTTAGATCGTCGGAGCTGGATACATAGATCGTGACAGAGGAGCGATCTGGAGCGATCTGGAGCGATCTGAACGGCAATACGGGAAATGCCACATACCACTAGAATGAACCGCGCCGGCAAGCAGTGTCACGATATTTCCACTTCCCGTAAACTAGGAGCTAGTTTGGAACATGCAGATTGATTAGAGAAGTTTCATGAATTCACTGCTGTTTTCCATCGCTTGCCTTTACTTCGACCTACTATTGCCCAGGACCATATCGCATCTAGGGCATCTCTAGGCCTTAGCCTTCTGATATCAGTGACGCGAAACGCCGAACCTCAAAGACGACTGAGCCGCCAAACCAAGGCGTTGGCACTGTTCATTGCCCCGCATCTGATGATTGTGTACCATGATCAGGACTATATGCTTCTGATACGACCATGCGCATCCATTCCCAAGCATCTACCCAGCCGAACGACCACCTATCGATCCCAGCCCTTCACGCATCCCAGTCCGCATCCCCCTTTCTCACCAGCCTGAACGGGAGACCGTGATACAGCAGATGCCGATCCATAGCGTTTTCCTTCCACGACACACCCACCGTATACTTCCCCCTCTCGCCCAACCGCACGCGACTCAAACTCGTCAACAGCTCCCCCGTGGATGCCTCGTCGTCGAATGTGCAACTGATGATGACAATCAACTCGCGTAGTCCCTTCATGGCGACGAGGGTGTCGATGGCCTTCTCCCAGGTGCGGCGGTTCCAGGGGGGGCGCTGCCATTTGGTAGGGACATAGTCTTGGAAGATGTTGACGGGAATGCGCCATTGGAGGCGGAGGTAGCGGATTTGGGAGAGGCGGTGGGGAAGAACAGCGGATTTGAAGTAGGTGAGTTGGAAGAGGTGGCGGAAGGAGAAGAAGTTGCGTTGGTAGAGGAGGTGGATGCATTCCATGTAGCTGTGAGTGGTTAGCCAACCGCGGCGGAAGGATATGGGGAGGATCAGAGCTTACATTTGTCGGCAGGTTAGTGGGAGTGAGAGGATCCGTGCCGAGCTGAAGGATAAGATGACCTCATTTAGGGAGAGAAATCCATGGAGCCAGAAACGCTGGCGATAGCCGGCAGGGAATCTTAAGGAGTCGTGATCATGCCAGGTGCCATAGAACAGTCGCTTCTTATCTCGCGTGCGCAATGGTTCGAACCTTCTGGTCGATTTAAGCCAGTCGTGGTTGATGTGCAGGACATGGTCTCCTATCACCTCGTTCCAGATCATCTCCCGTAACTCGGCTGGCAGCTTCGAGAGCAGCATGGACTGCTGTTGGCTAGACATCGCCAGATCCGGCTTTTTCTTGGGATGAATCTTGGATACCAGTTGAGTTAACTTCACTTCGATTCCTTCCTCTTTTACCCCAGTCTTCTCATTGACCACCTGAACGGGCTCGTCAACCTGCTCTTCGCTCAGATACTCCCTCTGCAAAGGTGGAGGCTGCGATAGCTCTCGTTTCCTCCTCGGCGGAAGCTTCTTGGGCGTCCGTGTCCCGCATCGCTTCTGCCTTACCAGCTCCAGCTTATCTTCCATGGCTTCAGCGGGGGGGTCTCGATCGAGCAGGATGATGAAGCAGGCGATCGGGCACCAGATGGGGCAGGTAGCTATCAGTAGCAAGGCCTCATAGCGGGAGAGGTGGTTAAGTCTGCGGCTGACCATGATGTCGTCGGGAGGGAGAGAGGGAGGCACTTTTGTTTACTTCATCGATTACCAACGAGTCCAGGAAGCAGGTGGTCAGTTGGGGGCGAATAATACTTATGGAAGTAGCTCGAGAGGGGAAGTTATTATGCCCGTCCGTAGGGCTTGATCGGCCGTGATCAGGGCTGTGATAAGAGCCTGGAATATAACGCTAAGGCGCGGGCAGCTTCATGGTGAAGATGCTAATGGCTGGGGGGAGATGGTTGTGTTAAGTGCACTGCCTCTGTCGTTGGACCAGGTTGATACGGATAACGGGTATCTTACATGCAAACCGATGGTTGGTGTTATGAAACCTGAGGGATGAACAGATGGTGGAGGGGTAGGTTGTGTACAGGGAGGTTAATTGGGATGATCTTCTGTCTGCAGTTGAACCTGTTTATGTACAGCTCAAGCTGGAGAGTGGAGAGAGGTCATCGTGGAGCTGGAGAAAGCTGGGGAAGGCTGAAGTGACAAGTGAGATCGATCGGAGCTTGGTAGTGCATGACTTCATTTTTACTACTAATTCGTGTTCTTGGAATCTCAACTGTCGGTAGCCTAACGTGATATCACATTTCAATCATTATCATTATTATTTGCTTGTATACGATCTGCGGGAAGTTGGGCATCACATATATCACATATCGGGTGACGTCACGACTGAAGCCATATAAATACTGTCCATTCTCATGAAACTGATGAAAGCCATTTCCCTATCCCACCACATTGCTTCGCATATGCATAACGAGCCAATTCCATCGCTCAATCAACCATGATCCCACTGCCAATGCTAATTCCAATCATCATCCTGCCACCCCCCATCCTCAAGTACCTCCCCCCGTCCGACCCCACAATCCCACCTGCGTCTCCCTAATCCTCCTCTCCTGCTCCCGAATCATCTCCTCCGTCTGTCCCCGCGCATTCCCCCGACTATCCATCACCGCCTCCTCCGCATTCACCTCCTCCTCCTGCGGCATCGGCACCTTTGCCGCCGGCGTCGGATCCTTGCTCAACGCCCCGTCCATCATCGCCGCCCCCTGGCCCGCCCGTAGCTGATTGATTGCCCGGATCGTGTCGATCGCCGCGTGCAGCGTGCGCCGCGCATTGAAGTTCTTCTTGACCACCGGCAGCAGGTCCGTGTCCGTTTGCCGTGCGTCGCCCGAGATCCATGGGTGGGAGAGCGCCTCCTGCGCGGTCATGCGTTTGCTGGGGTCGACGGTGAGGCAGCGGCGGATGAAGCTGCGGGCGGTCTCGGAAACGCCGCGCCAGTGCTCGATGGGCTCGAAGGAGAAGTCGGCGGCGAGGATGGCTTGCATTTCTTCGAGGTTGGAGTCGCGGTCGAAGGGGGTGTAGCCGCAGAGGAGGAAGTAAGAGATGACGCCGATGGCCCAGATATCGCTGGGGTTGTTAGTGGGGCTTGAAAGTTGGCTATGGAGGCGGTAACTTACACTGGTTTTCCATGGCCGGTCTTCATGAAGATTTCCGGTGCCATATATCCAGGTGTACCGCACGTGGTGGTCAGGACATGGAACTGCTCCTCGTCCATGATCCGCGAAAGCCCAAAGTCCGCAATTAGCAAATCTGCATTGTCCTCGGGCGTTCGGAAGAGTAAGTTCTCCGGCTTCAGGTCTCGATGTACGATCCCATGGTCATGAAGGTATGCGACGGCCGACAAGGTTGCCCGCATCAGATCGGCGGCGTCCGATTCGTAGTAGCTTCCTTTCCGACAGATGCGATCGAATAGCTCGCCTCCGAGCGCGAGATCTGTTACGAGATATACTACGCATGCACTGTCAGCAAAAATTTCTATAGTAGTTCAGGACATCCATACGGTTGTTCATCGTCTCAAAGTAATCCACCAGCGTCAAAATGTTCCTGTGGCCCATCGATACGCGTTTGAGCACCGCAATCTCGTTCCTCACCTAGCCTCTGGTCAATTCCCCATCCTTCCTGAGTAGCAGCGAACCTACCATATGTTCTCGCCCCGCCATCAACCTCTTATTGATCACCTTTGCCGCATAGTATCGTCCCGTATCGATGTGCACGCACTCTTTCACCACCGAATACGACCCCGCCCCCAGCGTCTTCCCCGTCTTGTATCGGCACGGTTGAATCTGCGCCTGCGGAGACGATTTCATCGGCCCCTGGCCATTCCGGTCATCCCCCCAGGACATGGTGAGGAATCACGCTGTCGAAGTGCCGAATCGCGGTCGTCAGGGTATGGGTGGGGTGGGAGTAAGCGCCCCGCGGTACGGTGGTGGTCGAAAGGGTCTCGGCTCTCTGAGTTTGGTCTCGTTCCACGAAATGAATCCCGGACCCGCGGTTAGGAGTTCGAGGTCAATTGGGGTTTTGAACTTGGTAGACCGACTCTTGTATGGCGGAGGGGAAATTGTTGAGTTAAATGGCTGGTTTATGTATTGAATGCAAAGTCAGTAAGCATCCCAATCGGCGTATTTCGTCCTGTCTCACCCCTTGTCCGCATTAAGCTTCCGGTGTGGAACTATCTTGTCCTTAAATTTATATTGCACCCCTCTTCGTGTTCTATCTCGATCATTCAGAAAGCTAAAATTATAGATATGAGAGATGTAATATTCGAATAGTAAGTCTAAGTCTCCCTCCCTTTACTGATCGGGCGCTTCGCTTCTCAAAGGCTAGTTGAAGACCAGCGCCATTAAGGTATGTAACATAACCAGGCATATGACTCCACAGCAATGCTACTCCATTTAGTCCTCTGTCACGCCATTTGCAATGCAAGATTAAACAATTCCTCTGGTTCATTCCGCATTGTCGGATCATTATAGAGAAAGAGCGAAGAATTGAACAGAAAATGGCACACAACATCCTCGAGCAGAGCATCAAGCTCGATGCAGCGACTAGGGCGTATTATGACACTCGACGACAGGAGGAGACCAACACACTTCCAAGCGAAGTATCTCTCCTCCAAACCCGCAACAACCGCATCGCCACCCTCCCCACCACCGGCCTCGGCTTCCCCGCCACCGTTTCCCACCTCGAGCACGCCGTCATCCCAGGCCTCAACCTCGCCAGCCTCTCCCCTCACTACTACGGTTTCGTCACCGGCGGCAGCACCCCCATCGCCGCCGTCGCCGACAATGTCGTCTCGGCCTTCGACAACTCCGTCCAGGTCCATCTGCCCAACGAATCCATCGTCACTGAGATCGAGGACCGGGCGCTGCGGATGCTATGTCAGCTGCTCGACTTGGAGGAGAGGGACTGGGCGCATCGGACGTTCACGACGGGGGCGACGGCGAGTAATGTGATGGGGCTCGCGTGTGGGCGGGAGGGTGTCGTTCGCTGGCATGGCAAGGCGACTGCAGGGACGACGACTTCCGTAGCGAAGATGGGGCTTGTGCGAGCGATGAACGCTGCCGGGCTGGATGAGATCCAGGTCTTGACGACCGTGCCGCATTCGTCGCTGGGGAAAGCGGCGAGTATTGTCGGGCTAGGACGAGATTCAGTGACGCTCGTGAACCGGTCCGATCGGCCGCACTTGATCGATTTCGAGAAGCTGGAAGAAGAGCTCAAAAGACCGGGAGTGGGCTCGATTGTTGCGGTGTCTTGTTCAGAAGTGAATACGGGGTTCTTCGCTGCCGGGAGGGGCGATATGGAGCGGCTGGCGGGGTTGTGTAGGAGGTATAAGGCATGGATCCATGTTGACGCGGGTGAGTGGTATCACTGATAGGCGACGAATCGAGCTGACTTCCTGTAGCCTTTGGCTTCATGGCAAGGATATTAGCCCCTGACACCAACGGGGAGTTCAAGAGCATCATCGACGGGAGTGATGGCCTTGAACACGCCCATTCCATCACTGGCGATGGACACAAGCTGCTGAACGTAGTAAGTCATATCCAGCTTACTCAACCTGGAGCGAGGGTTAACACTTCGTAGCCTTATGACTGTGGCATCTTCTTGTCCCGGAAAGCCGAAGGCATGGACGTGTTCCAGAACGCCGGGGCCGCCTACCTCCAAACCGATGCGTCCGACATCCCGTCCCCTTTGAACATCGGGATCGAGAACTCTCGACGATTCCGTGCGTTGCCAATGTACGCGAATTTAATCGCATACGGCCGCGATGGTTTCCGGACGTTTCTGCAGCAGCAAATCCGCCTGGCAAGAAGGACCGCGCATTATATTCGCCAACATCCGGGGTATGAGTTGCTCCCGGATTGGCACCAAGACCACATCGATCAGCACACGTACATGGTGGTGCTGTTCCGGGCGAAAGACGAGGTGCTGAATGCGTCGCTGGTGAAAGCGATCAACCGGCGGAAGAAGATCTATGTTTCGGGGACCGTGTGGGAGGGTCAGCCGGCGTCGCGGATTGCGGTGTCGAATTGGCAGGCGGACGAAGAGAGGGATGCGAATGTTATTGCAGAGGCCTTGGAGGAGGTGTACCAGGCGTGGCAAAATGCTGAAGGTTCATAACTCAAGCATAATGTGGACCATTGGGAGTTCATACATCCAACTAGCTCAGCCTTCAGTTGAGTCATCTATCATACAGCCTAGAAGTACAGTCTATATGTCTACAATTCATGTGTACATGACCTAACAGTCACACCTACCGTACCATCTCGGGAATCCCACCACGTCTCGAATATTAGAGACCCCAGCCAAATAGCCTAGGAGTCTATCAAACCCCAACCCAAACCCACCATGCGGCAAACTCCCATACTGCCGCAAATCCACATACCAATCCAACGCATTTCCCTCCCCCGGCTCGCCACCCGCCGGCATCAATCCCTGCCTCCGCATATTCTCCAACAACGGCTCTAGCCGATGCTCCCTCATCGACCCCCCCACCAACTCACAGATATCCGGCACCAGCAAATCAAAGCACGCCACCGTCTCCCTCCCCTCTCTGCCCAGCTCCTGCTCGCCGCCCTCACTCGGCGCCATGTAGAACGGCTTCATCGCCCGCGGATAGTCCGTCACGAACACCGGGCCCCCTCGCCCAATCGAGCTCGCGACGTACCGCTCATGCTCCGCCTGCAACCCCCCCTCAAACTCCGGTGCATGCTCGAATTCCACCGCGCCCTCCGCCACTGCCGATCGAAGGTGCTCGACCGCCTCCGCGTACGTGATGCGCGGCCAGTCCGCGGCGACCAGCCCGTCCCACCGCGCACGTAACGCCGTCGCCCCCACCACTTTCGCGTCGTGGGCGCTCGGCCCGGCATCCCCGTGCTCCTGCGCACGGATGCGTGCGCCCTCGATCAAGTCGTGCGCCAGATCTGAGGCGAGAAGGGTGCGTGCGAGGTCGCGCAGCAGGTGCTCGACGACGTCCATAATCTGGGAGAGGTCATCAACGAAGCAGAGCTCGGCTTCGAGCATGTAGAATTCGCTAAGATGTCGGGGGGTATCGCTTTTTTCGGCGCGGAAGGCGGGGGAGAGGGTCCAGGCGCGGCCAACGGCTTGGGCGTAGGCTTCGAGGTGGAGTTGGGAGGAGACGGTGAGGTACTTGGGGGTGCGGAAGAAGGGGTCGGGAGGCGGGGTGGGGTGAGGGGGGGAGGACGAGAGTGCGGGGGGTGGGGGTTCAGTGGTCACGGTGAAAGCTTCGCCGGCGCCTTCGCAGTCGGACGAGGTGATCAGGGGAGTGTGCGTCTGGACGAAACCGTGGCGGTTGAAGTAGGTGGTAATGGAGGAGATCGCTTGCGATCGGAGGTGCAACAGTATCGAGTTGAATGGGATACGAGGGCGTAGATGTGGTAGTGTGCGGAGGAACTCCGACGTCTGATATTTCTTCTGAATGGGGGATGCCTGGATTTCCGGAACGGGCGTCAATCAGCAAGTTGTCGCGCAAACAGAAGTCCGGAATCACCAACCGTCGCATCATTCTGCCCCAGCACCTTCAAATGCGTCGCATGTAGCTCATAGGACTGCTTCTTCCCAGGCGGGCACGCCTCCCACTTGCCAGTCACGGTAACGGCTGTCCCATTCGAAAGCCTATCACAAGCCCGTCGTTACAAATACTGCATGATTTCGGAGCTGTCGTCATTCCCTGGGCTTACTCTTCCGCATGTTCAGGCTGTAGGACCACTTGCAACGGTTCGAGCGACGATCCATCGCCAATGGCCGCAAAGGCGATGCGCTTCTGTCGGCGCACCGATCGGACAAAGCCATGGATGGTCACGATCGAGCCGGGGGTGGGCGCTGTTGTGGAGCTGGTGGAAGCGGTCGACGCGCGCAGGACCGATCGCAATTGGGGAAGGGGCGTGGTCGAGGTAGCCCTGGACGAGGATCTCGGTAGAGAGACGGGGATGTTATGATGATAGAAGGATCGGGAACGGCGCAGGTTCGTGGAGGGTGAGCTGTCATGTCGGATGGACTGGCGACATAGTCTCCATGGTCGCATAATGGAGGACAAGAGGCCGCAAGGGGAAACACAAATATGGAGAGCAAAGTAAGGTACCGTACCTGTACCGAGTCCAGGTACAAAGCGAGAGTATGGATTTCAAGAAGGACCACAGTGCAAATAAATTGTAATACTCTAAGAAGTTGAAGACATGAAGTTGAATATCGGCGCAGGGATCGGAGTCATCCAAAGGATTCTATGGGATCGTCGGCCCGCCTTGGCCGTTACACTGGAGATGCACGTCGTTCGAATGAAAGCAAAGAAGATTCTTTTTCGAAATCCAACTATCAAGTCCTTACACGACCCTTTGATTCAGATGGCTACACATGCTCGCAGCTGGTATCCCACCGTGGTATACCCTATTACCCATCTGCTATCCACCGCTTAGCCGCACGATCGATACGCCACTTTAATTCGATCGTGACCTTTCTCCCCTCTCCCCCTCTCATAGATTTCCACAGAATGCGAGTACATGTCCGACTGCTTGAACTGTACGTGACCTTCTTAATGACACCGTAAATGACACCGTAAACGACCCCTTCGGACTCCAATTCCGCGAGAGCTTAAGAGGGGTACCTTTACGTCAAGAGCTGGGAACCAGATGAGACTGTGGAATGCTACACACGCGTGTGGGCGCTCATCGGAGTCGACCGTCGATGTGATCGCGAAATGCCTAGCGTCACATCGTGTGTAACGCGACGCCCTGTGAAGTACTTCGTGTGTATACCCTGCGTGCCGTCGTCGAGATCAATCGCTTTTGTTTCATCCCAGCTGGTATCCGGAATTCCTCATCGGACCACTCCTCGCCCATGGAACCTGAAACTCAAAGCTCTCGTCGACTCTCGTCGGGGTGAGAGGTGAGGACTGAGAAACCAGGTACGTGTGCTATTTGCCATCGCTTTCTAGTCACAGGCTCGACACTTAACAGCATGGCGTTATGCGCTTATCGAGTTCTCGTCCTCTAACCTCACGACCACAATCCTAAGAGCAACAATGCCCCACAGTCAAACGACAGGTCCGTTTCAAAACCTGATCGGATGCGGGGGGCCGATCGATACCGCATACCGTATACCGATATGTAGGAACACCGCAGCGTGGATCCCGCGAGATTTTTAGAGTCCTTGCTTCCTCGAGTTGTGCTAGGAGATCGTAGAGCAGTAGATGATGCAGTCCGTCGTACATTGTTTGAGATCGAGTCTCAGATATAAATGTCGATCGCTTATCCCGATTGATTCGGCGATCATTTACCAGTCCAAGTTGATCGATGATTGTTCCCTTCCTGTCTCCACGACCCGGTGTCCCCTTTAGTCAATTGAGTTGACTGGACCACATTTTTCCCTTCTTCTCCAAAATGCCTCACTCACGCCCCAAGCCGTCCGAAATCGCGGCCGAAGCGAAGAAGCATTACATTCCTTGGCTCAACGCCCACTTTGACCAATACCCTGCACGTTCCTTTTTCATCTCCGACGGCGCGACCTTCGCCGTGTCGCCCAGCAAGCGGAATCACTGGAACCTTTCCATCGCGGTGGTCGATGGCGACCCGGTTGACGCAGCACTGGTGCTGTATCAACATAATGCCGCCCAAGAAGCGCTCAAAGGCAAGCAGGCCAGTCTGATCCCGGTGATAAATACTGCCAACGAGAGACGGCCCGGCGGAGATTGGGAGAGCGGAATCATGGCGCCGGAGGAGTGCTTGGCGAGACGGAGTAATCTGGTGAAGGCCCTGGTGACAGCGTGGTCGGGTCATGGCGCCGAATCGAAACACTACCCCATACCGCCCCGAGGAGGGCTATACAGCCCATCTATCAGTGAGTGCATCGGACGGACTTCCCCAACCCGCAACAGGCCCGCTAACCATGTCAGTGGTATTCCGCAACGGCCCGGATCAGTACACCCCCTGGTCCCACCCCCAGATGCTGCCAGTCATCTCCGTCGCCCCGGTTCGCCGTCCCCGGCTGGACGAGACCGGCACGCAGTACTCCTTTGAGCAAGAGAAAGACCTCATGCTGGAGAAGATGCGCACGGTGCTACGCATCGCGGCGCACTACGGGCACAAGGACATCTGCCTGGGGACGTTTGGCGCGGGCGCGACGTTCCGGAACCCGGTGGAGGAGCTGGCCCGGATGTGGAAGCAGCTGTTGTTCAACGACGAGGAATTCGACGGGGTGTTTGATAATATCGTGTTCGCCATCGACAATGAGGACGCGGTGAAGGAGAGGAAAGGGGGGTTGTCGGATTTGGCGGTGTTTGAGAAGGAGCTGGCTCCTGAACGGACGCATCCGACGAGCTACCGGTGACGAATATGGCAAGCTCAAAAATTAAAACGACTAGAGGACAAGAGAGGACTAGAACGAGCATGGATATGTTGCATCGCATATTGTTAGGCATAGTGTCTTTGAAGCAGTCCGTGGTTTGTACCACAATGACACCGATCAATCACCAAACCGGCGGTAGGGAGAAATGTGAAACTGAAGTGACCAAAATGAGTTGAAATTGTACACCTAGTATGCAATAAGCCAAAACCGTCAAAGGATCCTCGTCCTGAGACATTATCACCAAGTACGCCGTCCCATGCATCGGAGCACTTCAACTGTATATACCAGCCGAGGATGATCATCTGGACCAGGTTAGCATATCACAGGATACCAGGTACTATCCTCTACACAACTCACTTCCCAGGCCCCCCACTCAACTCTCCAACAAACTCCGCACCCTGCTCCTTCAACTTCCTCAACGACTCCTCTTTCCTGAAATCCGCGTATCTCTTCTGCTGGAAGTATTTCACCTGGCACATACAGTCAGCCTCAAACTCTCGCCCCCCTTCACCTCTTTCTCCCCGTTCTCATGGATTTGAGCTGAAGAGATATGATATATTGGATGGACGACAAACCCAACTCGACGCGCAATTCTTCTCAAACCCCGCCAGCTCCTTCGGGCATGCATTCTTCGTCCGGTCATCTTCCAGCGGATTGACGATGCTGTGCTTATCCAAGCAGTCGTAGAAGGTGTCGCGGGCCTCCCAGCAGCGGTTGCGCGCCTCGCGGTCGGGCGGAACATATGCGGCGTCTTTCGCTTTGGGGTCGGAGGAGAACCAGCCCATGGTGAGATCGGTGGAAAGAGGATGAACTGGGCGGACGAGGTTAGCAAACCCTGGGCGATTAATCATCAATTGGGTCTCTATACCTTGGGGTTAGATCATCGCCGTACTTGCGGGTGTTCAAGGTCCGGAAAAGTTCCCAAGCTTCGAATATCAAATGGGACGATGACATAGCTGGTGGTCACGTGGCGCAGCCCCTGCATCGATGCCAATAATTTGAACCCCAAACGCCTTTGTCTTCTTTTATATTACCGATTATTTATCCCTTATACTGAGTTATACAACGACCGACACGACACGACCCGACCCGATGCCGACCTGATCACCAGGAAGCCATGACAACCCATCTGTCTTGATAGCCTCGAACCAACTCCAACCACCCAACTCGACCACCTCCACCACTACCGCCTCTCCCGCTCACCTATGTAGCCACCTCTCCACACACTTACCGACCTACCTCACCACACCCACCCCCAAAATGGCCCGCCGCCGCCGACCCCCTCGCCCCGGCGCCCTCGCCGACGTCTCGCCCCTCCGCATCTTCACGCAGATCGTGATCCTGCAGGCCGCCTACTACGCGTCGGCGGCGGTGCTGATTGTGTTCACGGCGCTGGTGGCGGGGACGCCGCTGCGGTTGGAGCTGCTGCTGAACTGGCGGACGGTGCGGGCGGATAATACGGTGGGGTGGATGTATGCGCTGGTGTGGGTGCTAAATAGTTTGATTAGGTGAGTTTGAAGTGCATGGAATCGGGGATATAGCGAGGGGGAAGGCGCTGGTGCTGGTGCCTTGGCGCATTTATTTGGATGGATGGTGGTGCGTTGATCGGAAACGATGGCTAACGTATGAGATTAGTGTGATATACCTCCTCATCCTCGTAGCGCGCTCGAAACTCATCCTCGATTTCGCCCTTACTCTCCACGCCCTCCACTTCCTCGCGACTTCTCTCTACTCGCACTCGATCCCGCTGTCCCCCTTCTGGTGGGCCCTGCAGATCTGCTCGGCCGCTTTGATGACGTGGCTAGGCATCTGGACCTGCCAGTGGCGCGAGCTAAAGCCGATCATGTTCGGCGGGGCGAATCGGCGGCCGGAGGAGCAGAATGCCGCGGCGGAGGTGGATGTGGAGGAGGGGCTTCTGGGGAGGGGGAGGGGGAGGGATGGGGCGGGGGAGTATGAGATGGTGGGGATGGGGGGTTCGGGGACGGGGACATAACTGGAGATGGCGGTGCATTGCAAGGCGTTGGATATCGATGATATTGGTTCGAGCGTGCCGAATGTGGCTTTTGATTATGTGTATCATTGGACTGTACTTGATATACATAAAATTCATACATTTCATCAAGATCTATTTATATCCCATGAACTTTTCATATAACTTTTTCCCGCCCCTCTGGATGATGGCTTATATGTCCAACATACTCCTGACTTGCACCGGCTTCACGTTCCCACTTGCCAACGTCGTCCCCGATATCCCACTCTGGCCCGTCCTCACGCTCGACGCATCATTACTCCTCGTCCGCTCCGGCGTTAACCCCGTCCCAGGACTCGGATCGCTAAATGGATCCTCCACCCGACTCCGACTCCGATTCCGCATCCCACTACCCCCCGTCACCCCCATCTCCATCCCATTCGCATCCCCATCCGAGAAGTTCCCTCCCTGCATATTCCGCAACTCCATCGTCCGCGAGAGCCGGTTCGCCGTCGGCGCCCTTCCGCCCACCTCCGTCGTCATATGCCGCAGCTGCTCCTCCGCCGTCATGAACTGGTTCTCCTTCCCAAACCGCCACCACTGCGGCTTCGGGGTATATCCCACCATCGCGTTCGTCTCGCGTCCGCGCCGGCGCCGCTGCTCGATCAGCACGACGTCCTCGTTCCGCTCGATCAGCCCCGCGACGATCAAGATGAACATGATCAGCAGCACGGGGGCGTATCCCAGCGCGTAGGGCCACGCGGGGTTGACGGAGAGGTTGAAGACGCTGATTTCCCATTCCCAGGCCTGCGCGACGATGTAGGCCATGCGGACGGCGAGGATGACGAGGGCGAGGAAGATCTTGGTAGGGCAGGCGGCGATAAAGTGGGCGATGGATTTGAAGGGGGCGAAGGAGCGGGTCGGGGTCGGTGGGCGCGGTTTGTAGTGCTTGAGGCTGTGGTGGAGGCTGTAGATGATGATGAAGTAGGCGACGCCGCCGAGGATGGAGCCGGCTTTGAAGCGGCTGTCGGTGCCGGAGGGGGCGGCGACGGCAAGGGTTTGGTCAGCGGAGCGCTGTTTTTCGATGGCGCTCCAGGAGCGGGGGATGGTCATGAAGAAGTTCTGCAACCAGGATTAGTGTCTGGAATTAGATCGGGGGGGATGGGGGGGATGGAAACTCACCAGCCATGCAAACAGGTAGAAGATCAGCGGCAGGTAGAACTCTGTTCTACTCCTCCGATCATCCTGCCCAAGCGCAAACGGATCCGGATCCACGACCTGCCGCTCCTGCCAAGAACCCCAATGCCTCGTTGCCTCCCACACCATGGCCAAACTCCCCGGCACCATCAGCATGAAGAAGAAACTCTGCAGGATGATAGGCATCTTCGGCAGATAGTTCCGGTCGACATCGATGCTCGAGACGGTGCTGATCAGCGCGCACGCGCAGGTGAAGCACATCCAATACCACGTCCAGCGGCGCCCGACCGCCCGGAAGCGCTTCGTCTCCTGCAGGTAGAGCTGCCCGTGCTTGCGGAGCACGACGAGGGAGAAGACCAGTGCGAGGCCGTACATGGCAACGAAGGCAATGCCAATGGAGCCGCGGGTGGAGATGGAGTTGAGGGGGTAGTAACATGTGGTGCCGTTGATCCAGGAGCCGTTGGAGAGGAACGTGGGGCGGTAGGCGTCGAAGATGACGAAGCAATTGGAGTCGTTGGAGATGGTGTTGTTGCTGTAGTAGGTGTAGTTCCAGTGTTCGAGGGCGGTCTTGTTGAAGTGGATGCCATTGATGACAGTGTCAGAGGCATTGTCGGGGTTATTAGGCCAGGCGATGAGGTCCCGGAGGTTGATGAGCGGCATTGCGAGGTTGGAGGGGCGACGGCGAGGAGGGGAGAGCGGGAGAGAGAAGAGAAAGAGAGAAAAGATGGTGAGGCAGCGCTGAGGGCGACCTGAAAGGCTGAACAAAGCCCTAAAGTTTTATCTCGACTCGAAAGGAATCACGAAAATGAGGAACCGCCAAGCTGCCGATTAACGGTTCAACGACCCATACTTAAGCCCAGGGGGCCGATCCAGTATTCTGCGATTTTCTTAGTGAGTGAGCCAACTCGGAAGAAAAAGCCGCAATTCTCTGGTGGCCGATATCCGCGCGGTGCCGGGTAACGATTCGTATACGGTGGGTTGATTGGAGGAGCCGATTTGCCCCTTCGCCCGTGATCGGTCGTCTATGAAGGGAGAACCTTGGAATCGAGGCAGATGTTCTACCGAAGAGCAGAGTCTAGCAATGTAAAAGTATTACGATCTTCTTTGACTTCCTAAATGACTCAATGGGCAAGCTACGGTGTCGAGTAACTATGGATGAATGCCGAATGGAGGCTGGAGGTGGAGGTGGAAATAGGAAAAACGCCAATGACGCGCCTTTAAAGTTTGACCATCCGTATTCCGGCAAGGGGATGCTACTAATCGATGGTCCAAGCTCTCCCAAGGCTGTAGGCGGATCTGTCATCGATGATCTCGGATCTGACGGTCACAGTCGGTGGTCCGCGGGAACTGGAGATGTCAAGATTTCTGAACAACGGTTAGTTAGGTATCGCAAAATACGTACCGGATTCGATATTACCGTTCTCTTCGGAGCAAAGGATAAGGACAAGTGCTTCTTGATAGAGGATGGGATGGGATGGAGCACGACAAAGTTAAACATCAGTCACCATTCATCACTCATCAGAAATAAGGGCGAGATATGTAATATATCCAAAGCACGAAGAATCTCATTTTTCCGGCACAGACGTACTCAGCACAGACAGCTACCTACATGTACTCCAACCAACCATCCATATCCTACCCCTTCTTCTCATCCCCCTCATCCCTATCCTCATCCTCATTCTCATCCAACACCGCCTCCGTCTGCAACGGACTCCCCGCCAACCCACTCCCACCACCCGCGCTCCCACTACTCCTCCCCTGACTCTTATTCCCCGTGCCCCCACTCCCCTGACTCGCCTTACTCCCCTTCCGCGCACGTCCCAGCCCCTCCAGCGCGATGCTGGGAAACCCGCCGAACGGGCCACCCGACCAGGCATTCACGTGCTGCTGCAGCGGGCCATTGGACGATAGCCACATGGAGGGGGAGGCGGACGTTTGGATGTACGAGTTGGGGCGGGTGGACGGGTTGGAGGTGTAGAACGACGGGGCGGGCGGGTGCGGCGAGGGCGAGGAGGTGTGCGCGTACATCTCGTGCAGGTCATCGGAAAAGCTGCTGATGTTGCTGGCGAGGGAGGAGCTGCGGTCACGGGGGACGAGGGAGTAGGCGCCGGAGCCGATGGCGCCGGGGGAGGGAGTAGGGCGGTCGTGGGCGAGGTGGGGGAAGCCGGGGGCGAGGGAGGAGGAGAAGGCAGAGGTGGGGAGGCCGGTGCTGGTGGGGCTGAGGGAGTAGGTTGGTGCGGAGGTAGGGAATTGGAACGAGGCAAAGGCGTCGCGCGTGCTGCCGAAGCTGCCGGATCCGGATGTCGTGGGGAGGGGACCGGGGATGGCGGAGAAGGTCGGCGCGGGAGGCGGGGAGGCCCCAGAGGTGCCGGGGAGAGGTCCTTCGGGGGTGAGCGGTGGCTGCGAGGCATGCATCTGCTGGAGCAGGTGAGTCTCGAGTCGACGATACTCTTGCATGACCCCCTGGGTACGCTGAAGTTCGTCGGACTCCTTCTGTTCCCAACCTTGGATGCCTTCGATCCACCGGGCCTCTTCTTGCGCACGGGTCGCGGCGGTCGCGAGACGGACGTTGGTTTTACGCTTCCGTTCGGCGGTACTTTGGGCTTTCTCGGCCTGCGCTTTAGCGAGTTGCTCCTTGAGCTTATTCTCGCGGGCGTGAAGTCTCTCCCGTCTTTGCGAGGTTTGGTCCAGCGCAGCCGCTTGATCCGCTTTCGCCTTATTCCTCTCTTGCTGGGCGAGATTGAGGTCCCTTTTCGTGTTCGACCGCTGTTCCTGTGCCTCTTCCCACCGCTTCCTTGCTTGCTCGTGGCCCTTGACAACATTGGCTGGAATGTCTCCCATCTCTTTTCTCTGCGCTTCGAGGCTTTCGGCGGCCGACCGTGCTTGTTGAACATTCTGTTGCAATTGCTGTACTTTCTGACGAGTTCTTGCGTCGTCGGTAGTGGCAGCTCGGCGAGTAGTCAGATCGTTGATCTCTTTGCGCAGCCCGGTTTGAGCTTTGCTATGATCCTTTCGATTCTTTTTGATCTTATTCCTCGATTCGTTCAGCTTGGAATCGGCCGCTGCGATGGAATTCTTGAGTGTTGTTGTCGGAGATTGAGGTCTAAGTGGCGGTTGTTGAGGAGCAGTTGCCATCGATGCTATATATTGTCAACATCTGTCTCAGGAGATTTTGGAACCGGTAGAACTTACCAAGATCGGTCATAGGGGCCGACTGGGTGACTAGACTAACCGAGTATACCAATGATCTGTCGTACATACTTATGAATTCACAGTTGTAGCTTGACATCGGTGTGAGCCCATAGATTGCACCAGACCAGAGAACGGAGCCTTGGTCACCCTCGTCGTCACCAGCGCCTTCGCAAATGATTCGCGTGGACGTCCAGTCGGCCCCATTGACACGAATATAGAACGGCTTCGTCTTGTCAATGTTCGGCGTCATCGGCGGATCTTTATCATCGTCATCATCCGATAGATGAGCCGAAGAAACCAGCACCCAAAAATCAATCTCCGTCGACTTCACTTCCCCAATCCAAACTGTCCCCATATTAGTGCCCAACGTAACATCCGTGCTGTCGGAATGACAAATCTCCATGCTTTTCGCCTCGCTCGCATCCAACGACGCGAGACGTTCTTCCGACGCCGCCTTCAAAGAAGATACTTTTGATCCAGCAATCGCAGCCCAAAACGGTTGGTGGCTTCGAGCATAGTTTGCCTGTCGCCGTCGCTGTTGTTTCGAAGTAGAAATACGTTCGCCTTCCCGAGGACCGTCGCTAGGATATGGGCCCGGAGGTCGTCCGTCTGAACTCGAACCGGTTCCTCCGTCTATTCTGATGTCGACCGCACCGGAGTTTCTCCGAGGGGTAATCGGAGGGACGATCATTTCGGTATCGTTCTTTTTGGTTGGATGCGGTGAGGGCAAGGACTGTTGCTCGCGAGCCTGGGATAGCTTTCGGCGAATCAGGCGAACGATGCCTTGTGTAACGATATGAACCCCAAGAAAACTTTCGAATTGGCTCCGATGCCGCCACAGCGCCTCTGGTACTTCGAAGGAAAGCGACGGGACTCGAAAGGTGCCATTGTCCGTCCATGGAATCTGGAAGCCGAATTGACGTGTCGATCTCCACTTGGTCATATGGAACGCAAGAATGGTTGCAAAACAGGCCAGGACACTTCGCATGGTGGTTCGACGGTGTCCTGGATCCATCGCTGCGGCTCCGCCGACATAAATTGCGATAACGGCGGGGGCGAAGTCCACGATTAGATTTTGGAAGGGTCTCCAAAGGACAAGATAGAAACCAAGAGAGGCTAGATCGGAAACGGCGATGGTGAGGAGCGATGGCTTTCCGGGGGTGCTATGAAAGACGTCATGTACACTCGGGAGGCTGTTCGTTATCGAGCCTCCATAGTACACTTCCCCCGATCTTATAAACTCCAAGAAGGCGTAGAGCAGGTGAGCGCAGTTTGCGACGCCGGTGGGTAGCGAGAGGAGTAAGATGAGGATAGTAATGACATCCGTGATCGGGCAGGAGCTGATAACCGTAGCGGCCATAGTAATGATATTGCTCTTGTAAGCCTTGGCATTTTTAAGTGCATCGGCATCGACGTCGATTCGGAGGGGGGAGGCGGAGGATGCGCGGTGCAGTTTTCCATGACCGAGTTTGTGTTGCAGAGGGAAGGCGTGATAGGAAGCATCATCGTAGGCGTGAGACTGCGCGATACCCATTTCCGGATCAAGGATCGTTCCATTTGTAGCCGTCGAAGGGACAGCGAAGCCGTTCGGGGAAGCGTGCAGCTGGTTGTGCGAACCGGATGGTGAATCTACAGCGACCGAGGGCAATGCCGGCGTCGCGGAGTGAGCAAATCCATTGGCATGGTAGTTCTCATGAAGCGAATTGGACGACTTCTGCTTCACGACCCGTTTCGCTGGAGGAGCAAGACCGTTCTCGTGCCGTTTGTCGTGTGCGTTGGGTTTCTTGCCTTTTGGCATCAACGCAGCGCCGACAACGTCCTCTACCGATCTGGCTCGACTGTTTCCACGAGACGAGCCACGGTAAGGAAAATCTGCAGGATGAAGGGACGAGATGAGAAAGGACGAGATGAGAAGGGTGAAGAGGAGTGGTTATCCGAGAGGAGTAGTGGCGTAGGATTGGAGGAGGTGAAACCAGAAGAAGTATAATCGAAGGTTTAGAGAGAGGGACAAAGTAAGGTCCTTGTTCAGATGAAGCAAATCGCCAAGTGAGCACTGCAGCCTCAGCAGCCTCAGTATTAATTAGTCGGAACGATTAACTCTCTTAGGTGCACAATGGAACTCGGCTGTTTTTCGGGTTTTTAGGCTTTTAGTCCAACGTGCGCGAAGTCTATTGTGCTCATAAGGCCGTAACTTATTAGGAGACGTTTCAGTTCTTTGAAGAGCGTATTATTCATTCACGGTGGACAAAGAAGAAAACCATGCCCTCAATTTTGAAGAATACTGGTCAGTTCGTTCGCCAAACCAAATGTGAAATGGTGCATTGCATGAAAATGGGCATTTGTATCACGTCGCCCCATTCAACTCCACAGCCAACTTATCCACCACACGAAACATCCACGAGAAGAGCCGGCGGGGGCCAGTCCAGGCAGTAGAGAGTCCAGGGCCCAGGCACACTGCATGAAAGCTCCGGCTACACAAAGCTTCCGATGTACCTACAGGCGCCCCCAGCGGCCAGTCGCTCTACGTAAGCTAAACCGCCAACACCCTAAGGAGTGACAGCAGTAAGCACCCGTCGCTGCAGCAGCCTCTTCGCCCATTAATGGCCTGGCGCCGTCGATCCTAGTGGGACGCCCTCCAAATCGAAGTCTAGCGCATGCTTATCGTTCCCGTTTCCTCTCATCCGTCATCGCTAATAATTAAACTATCAATGGTCAGCAGGATTACATACCCGTAATATCAATCCCATGATCTGGGATAACAGGGTCCTGTCGAGAAGTAGCCCCCAAGGTGTTTGATCGCGGCGAACAAAGGAATGGAGCGACGCAGTGCTCTCCATTGCGAAAGCAATATAGTCACTCACCGCTTAAATTTGTTCATGGACAGAATTCGGACTGATGGCGAAATCCAAGCATTGTCATCTAGAGTGCCCCTCCGCCCAGGCCGCCCCTGATGAAGCAGCCCCCATCCAGCGCCAGACTGATTCGCTGCACCACCCCATGCCTGGTCCACGCCGCTGCTGCTGTTCGGTTTCGAAAACTTCGGTTTCATGGATGGCCCTGGATAGACGGGATTCCTAGCTCGTCTGATCTAAATGGCCGTCTGGGAACCGGCATGACTGGTCTTCAGCCCTGCAGTCACAGGCCAGCGTTTCTGCATTCTGGACTCTCGTTCGGTGTGGCTGCATATCCTGATGGGCACTGCAGCCACGACTTGCGAATCATCGTCCATGCGGGGCCGGTTTGAGCGAATTTCGATGATCGTTCTGCTGGCACATGGACATTGGACAATTCACGCTGAAGCCGACTTTTCCGAATGAGATGTAAGATCATCGAATCGTCCATTTTAGGCTTCCGGTTCAGGAGGGGAAATGCATCAACATTCAACAATGCTTCCAAATGTCTCACGACTTGAACTTGTCCGACGTCAATGGAATGGTTTATACCCGAGACTCTCGATGCGGGAATAGACGGTTTGACATGCTCCTGATCTCATACAAGTCGGGGGATTCAACCAGGATATCCTACGGAATACTTCGTACACGTTCGCCTATTGCAGTATAAGAACACCCGACGCTGTACCTATCATGCATTGGCAAGTCAAGCATTGGTTTCTTAAGTACTATTGACATGCTCGAAACTCCGCATTGGAGAACTTGGTTTCGTGGTCCCTACCCGTTTCATGCATGTATCGTCATCAAAGTATCAACATAGTGTCAGTCGACCAATAACCTTTGACATCCACATGAATCACACTTTGCCGATCCATCTATCCTCAAGCATTTCCGGATCATGGAGCAGCAGACCCGAGATCTTCTTTCGCATCCGGTCTATCCCACGTTTCCTTCTCCAGCACCTCCACCCGCTCATGAAGTCTCCTGATATTTTCGCCGTTCGACTTCTTAGCTGCTTCCTGCAGTCGGAACGTCTCGTGGAACATATCAACCATGAACGGCTTCAGCGGCACCTTCTTCCCCTGCTGGTAGTCATATACCACGATGTCCTCCACGCAGCGTGCCGCGGGCCGTTGATGCAGCTCGGAGAGGATGATCACGTCGAGGATGAAATGGTCCATTCGCCCATCCGGTGCGTTGCGGAGCTTGTGAAGGACAGTAACATGGTCGGGATATGTCATAGGCTGCCACAGGTTAATATCAACAATCCATATATCGCACCTCGTCGCTAAAGTTGCGAATGGGGCTTCGGAACACATACAAATTTGTAGTCTGTCTTGATACTCCGTAATATCAAGCCTACACTTCGCGGCGTCCACAGCTCTCTCCATTCATCGCCATGGGCAGGGTCGACAAAAGTTGCGATCTTCTGCGCCCATTCTATTCGGGCGGATTCGGCATACCTGGTATACATCACGTTGTTCACATGGCCTAGAGTACCAGTAAGGAATCTCGGATGCCCAATCTCAGATGCTATGAATACATACCCTTCAGTTGGTCAGTAGTCCAGGAGATATATGCTGTAGTCGACGCGACTTACCATACTGTCCTAATCAAACATTAACACGGCTTGAACCAACTCCATCAATCGGAATCTCAACATACCATCTCTCCCCACACCACCCGATGCCTCCACAGCCCTCTCCGATCCTCCGCCGTCAAATACCCTTCACTCCCAGCCACCAGTTCCCGCCAATCCCGACTCAGCTCTTTTAGTATCTCGGATGCCTCGCCTACCTGCGCCGTGTTCATGCCGAAGCAGATGCACGTTCCTATCCGTTCCTTGAGCGCGGAGAGCCATCGCGGATGGTGAGCGGTCAACGCCTGGGATTCGGCTGGGGAGGGAGCGGAAGAACGATTTGGTGAGGACGTGGTCAAAGGCCTTAATATATTTAAAGAGTTCTGAGCGCTAGATAAACCATTGATATAAAGGGGGACAGGTTGGCGGGGGAGGGGTGAGGCAAGGACTGGCGGTATGGCTCGGAGCTGCAGGAGAGACTTCATGGTTGTATCAAAGACTTCGAAAATCAATTGGCATATAGACTCGATGGGGAACTAAATTCAGGGGGTATCAACTTCCAATTCCATTCAAGAAATGCTTCAAGGCTTGAAAGATGGCTCGTCTGGTAGGCCGAGGCCTCGCGAAGTCACGATGTTCCTGTTTACCGCTGCCAGGAAGTGGGGCGGGAGAATTAACGTCATCTCTCGTCAGCATGAACTTTCAAAACACCATTCTCCAATTCCACTCGACACAGTCGTCGCAATTGAGCCTGAGCCTACTGAAAACGGAATATGAGTGCCCCAAATCCTGCCCTGAGGCACCAAGTAATCAAAATCTACAAAGGTTGGTCGGTACGAACCCAGTTGCGAGGACCGCGTTGACATCCACTAGAGCTATTGTACCTTGGTCGAGAATACCCCCTTGGATTCGACTATTACCGACCTCGATTGAAAAAAGCATTCGCGAGTCAAGTCCACCTGGAGGATGAAGAAAAAATCAAGAAAGGGATCGAAAGAGCGGAGTTCGTGAAGAAGGGTACGTTCGCCGATCCGTTTGATTCGGCCGTGTATGGGCTGGGCTGATTCATTGCTATGTAGAAATCGAGGCGCTGTATGCCATCATAATCTCCTGTCAAGGGATGCCATTGAAGCTAACATTGTCGTTTTCATCTAGGTACTATTTGAAGCGATACCGAACCTTGCGGCAACGCTATGAAACCCCCACCCCCGATCCGTTGCATTCTATCGAAGACCACGCAACCCAAGAAAAATGAACCGTACAGCCCTGGTCGGGGTGTTTAGAAACTGCGAAATGCCGTCATCCCTTTCGTCTCTTGTCACGTAAATCATCATCGCTTCCTGGCCCACCAAGCCCCAATCTCCAGACATTCCCCATGTTCCGCACCGCGTCCCTGCAGGAGATTTCCCTTCATCCCCGACCACCACCGCGCCCATTCCTCCGCGTTCTTTCGGCTAAGATCCGTAAGCAGCGGCTCCAGCCCTTCCAGTATCTGCACCACCGTCATCAACGCCGTGGCTCGCAGTGCGGCTTGTTCGTCCGTCAAGACACTCTGCACTTCATCTCCTTGGTCCTTGGTGGGTTGCTCTTGGTCTGGGAATATCTTCGATTCCCAGTCGATACCGGATTCTCGCTCCCATCTCGTTTCCGTCAACGGCACGGCCACGCGCCGGAACCCTATCTCGCAGAGATCGTCCGGCTCTTGGAGAAGGGCGGCTGTCATTCGCGATCCGGGCGTTGCCGAGAGCCCTCGCGCGTCCAAGATATTTTCGATCCAAGCGCTGGCTTGGTGGAGATATGTGTTCTGTGGCTCCCCGAAAACTGTTGCCGAGTTGATGGGATACGTCGCGGTTTTCTTCGCTTGCGTGAGCTCCTCCTCGCTGGTACGAGAGAACGAAGCGGAGTGGTCCAGTTGAAGGCACCGGATCGCGTGGTCACATTCCCAAATCTCCAACGCGCCGCCGCGCTTGAGGACGCGGATAGTTTCGTCGAGGAGTTGCTGCGTGCCTTCACCGACGGGGGTGACTAACGACATGTCCTTCATGATTACTAAGTCGAATTGGGAGTCGGAAAACGGCAACGGACGGCGAAGATCGTGCGCCACGAATCTCCAGTCCATGCCTTGCTTGCCAAGATCCGGCGCGGACTGGGCCGTGTCAAGGCCGATGAATGACGGCGCTTTCCATCCAGAGGAGACGAGGTGCTGGTGTATCAAATAGCTCCAATAACCCGTACCGCATCCGATGTCCAGGATTCGCAGTTGATGTGTCTTCGGAAGGAATCGCGGTGGGCAGCAAATTGGCTTCCCCAAAACCGAAGAGACCAGCATGGTTCGCAAGTTCTGCCGCTGAAGCTCGGCCAAGTCGCATGGCAGTGGATTCGGGCGATCGCGCGGATACCGCCGTCCATTCCGGACAAAGAATGGCGCCGGCGGAGGTAGGACGTTGACGCTCTGTGTTGATGAGGAACTCGCGATAGAAACGGCGTGGGTTCTCGAGACATCCATGCTTTGGGATCGCCGATTTCTCAACGTGTTCCTCGATGTAGACGATCTCGTAGACTTGGCCCGTTGAGGAGGCTGGTGTTTGGCTCCTGAGTCAGGACATTCTGTCTGGGTACCCGGGTGGAAGATCGGTACGCCGTCTATACTCTGATATCGATACCTGTTTGAAATACATACTGTTATTCCTATGTTGGGGAACGCCAGCGGACATGCCTGCTATTATAGGAACAGGAAGGTTCACTGACAGTGTCCACGAAGTCATGGTGCCTTTCATTGCAGGTTTTCATGTTTAATTGTCCCCACTTCAAAGACCCAGGAGACCCAATCCGCCGGAATGCGGCTGTGATGCGTAGCCGGGTTGAGCAGCGGACGAAGCACTTGCGACCGGTCCTGAGACAAGCATCTACCTGGCCAACTTCGGGAGCAAAACTCGGAGGAATCTGAAACACCGAGTGACCAGCACCGTGTAGAATTATGGAGATCAAAAGAAACTGGACTTAAATAAACAGGAATGATAGGAAATCCGAACAGAAAGTAGAAGCATTGAGTAATGATGGAGTGGATGTTTTTAGTATTCGGTAGTCGTCGGTCATATACACATATGCAGTTTTAAGGCAGATTAGGTTAATTAGTAGAGGGCGCACCATTCAGCTGGTCGCCCAAAGATTCAACGGTGATGTGCAGAGCCAATTTCGGTAGGAGTTCCAGAATGCCGTGGACTCTGCCTGTGCTGAGCTGCTGATAACCCTATGGTCTCGCGAAGGCCGCCAGTAATCCTGAGGACAGGATGATCCAGGGATTTTCTGATGAACCCGGACAATGAAGCAGCCTGTCGGGTTTTGTATCTGGACTGAAACGTTCCTCATGCTGACAGCCAAGCATGGATCAGCTAAAGTTGTCTCCTGGCTGGGAAGATCTATTGTCCAGGATCGTGCTTAGTTGGAGATATGAAACACTTTGCTCCGAGAAGACGACCGAAATACATTCTTAAGGCTCTTAAGGGGAGCTTGTACTAAAATTCAAGCATCATCCACATCGTAGGCACGTAATCGGCAATACATATCAATGTTGCGACGTTGCAATACCAGTCATCCGAAAGGCTACAAGAGACTGGTAACGGAGATATGTCTTTCAGAACAGGCGTAATGATATTAATTGGGTACGAACAACCTCTTTAGATCCAGAACTGTCCATACTGAATACATCAAAAGAATATAATAACGGGAGGTCTGGGAAAAATGACATCTTGGCTTATCATTTGCTTTGATCGGGAATGTAGAGCGTCCTTTGAGAAACAAGTCCTGAGTCTCTTTTGCTCATGCTGCACGAAAATAGCAATACCGACCAGTCATTTGAGTTCCTGCTAATGGCGAGACTCAATAGCAGCTGGACCTGCTGTAGTAATATTAACAGGTATTGATTAAAACCATGTGAAATAAATTAGGTGATGATGATGATTGATCGACTTTCTGGAGTCTGGAGCACTACTATCTGATCTCCCCAGTCCCTGTGGCGAAAGAACTTTCACCAGGCAATGAGGCCGAAACGGTGGCTATCTTAGGTCACGTGCATTCACAACGAAGCACTTCACAGGATCGTGACTCTGTAACTAGTACCACCACCTACGAACCGCGCAAATCGAACACGGAATCCTGTGTACTCGACCTATTTATCTTTACAGAGAGAAGTTTCACGTAAACAGACACATCGAGCACGCTTTGAAACCCTACCATCCCACGCTCTTTGCACAATTCCGACCTGTCGCGACCTCCACTTCCAGAACCACCATCGCAAAGTCTATCTCCAACCTTCACGGGCTGCTGGTCTTGTTGACTTAAGTCAATCCTGTTGACTCAGGCTACTACTGATGTACCTATAATACTGCCATTTGCAGGAGATCTCTATTGTGGGTTCATTCACACTGACGGAAAGGATGAGGTCCCCGCGATTCAGCTACTGACCTTGTCACCAGGCCACGAACAACAGGCACAGGCTACGATTCCCAAGTCAAAGTGGTTTCTTAGACACTTGCTGCTCAACACATCTCCTTTCGCCGATGCTAAGACGAAGAAAACAACGACCCCAATCCCTACCTCCAACTTAACTTCATCCGATCTCGATTTCACGAGATCATCAATACCCGGCTAGCACGGAGTGGTGGCCATATTGGACTTTACGATAGCGTTAGATGGCTGATGGTTATCAGCGATACCAGCAGGGAGCTGGCCACAGTCTCTGGAACCCCTCGTTAGAGGGGGGTTTTTACAGAGCGCATAATCAACGGGCTGCATCCCCAGTCAGTACCGGCCGAGGCCTTTACGCAAACGACACTCCATCCCCCTCTCGATCTCCTGGCCCGCACGCTGGAGCGCACAATCGATTCGGGATGTTCGGTGGGGGCCACAATGCCAACCAGCGCAACATTCTCCAAAATGGCATGGGAGCGGCGCAATATGCCCTTCATATGAACTCCACCAGAGGCTTCCAGGGCCATGGTCAACAAGCGCATACACCACACGCCCAACACCAGGACCACGCGACGCCGAATTCTCGACACAACTTTCCGAACCATCAACATAACCTCTCTGGCAGCGAAGCTCAACCTCACGCGCAACAGCCGCACGGAATCGCTCAGTATGTTAGCACAGAAATGGCGAAAAACTACGGTGAGAATTATACCATGCAACTTCAGGCATACCAGCAATCCGCGGAGATGAGCGGTCCGAATGCCCACGCGAGAAGTCACGGAGGACAGAGGAGCATGATTGCAGCGGCAACGAATGGTCTCACCAAAGAGAGGGATAAGGAGGAGCGCAACCGTGGCAGTCATATCAGCGTGGAGGTTAATGGGTCAAAACTCTACTTCGATGCTATCGACGTTGGCGGCCACAAGATCCGAAACCTTTCTCCTTCTCTGTTCAATTATACGTTCCTCACGCGACTCATCCTCAACCACAACAGCCTGCAATACCTCCCCTCGCAAATCGGCCGTTTGAGAGGGCTCATCCAGCTTGATGTATCATTCAACCATCTACGAGAGTTACCTCCGGAGATTGGAATGCTGACCAACCTGCGCGAACTGCTCCTATTCCGAAACTATCTCGAAGTCTTACCACCGGAGCTGGGATGTCTGTATCAGCTGGAAATGCTGGGTGTCATCGGCAATCAACTTCCAGATGAGGTCACAACAATCCTCAAGGACGAGGGTACCGGACCACTCATCAAATTCTTGCGTGAGCAAGCACCGGGTGAGTAGAAATGACTCGAACTTGTTACATTGCCAACTAACAAAACACAGTGCCTCCACCCCCTGTCGAGCGAGATTGGATCGTTTTGGATGACACTCCCGTCACCGCCAATGAGAAGATCACCGTGATGACCTACAACACCCTTTGTGACAAGTACGCGACACAATCTCAGTATGGTTATACTCCTTCCGCCGCATTGTTGTGGACACACCGCCGGGACCTGGTTCTCGAAGAAATCCGTGGTCGCGACTCGGACATTGTATGTCTTCAAGAAATCGATCAGAGGAGCTACAACGAATTCTTCCGACCCTCGCTCGCGCACAATGACTACAAGGGGGTCTACTGGCCGAAGGGCCGCGCGAAAACCATGGGCGACAAGGATGCCGAGCTCGTCGATGGCTGTGCGACGTTCTACAAGAACAGCAAATTCATTCTCCTCCAGAAAGAGGTGATCGATTTTGCGAATCAAGCCATTAACCGACCGGACATGAAAGGCGAACATGATATCTTCAACCGTGTCATGCCGAGAGACGATATCGCAACCGTGTCGTTTCTGGAAAACCGCATGACTGGCGCCCGACTCATGGTCGTGAACGCCCATATCTTCTGGAACCCGGTGTTCAAGGATGTCAAAGTCATTCAAGTCGCGATTCTCCTGGAACAGCTTGGGGTTCTCGCCGAGAAATTCACGAAGGTCGCACCTTGCAGTGAGAAGGACAAAGTCCTGTTCAAATTCGCGAACAGCGATCAGGACGAGGCTGCCGCACCGCCGGAAGAGCAACCCAATCCCGCACCATCGAAGAAATATTCCTCCGGGACCGATATTCCGGTGATCATGTGCGGTGATTTCAACAGCATGCCCGGATCCGGCGTCTACGACCTCATCGCGCACGGTAACCTCTCCCACGCGCACAGCGACCTCATGAACCGCAAGTACGGCAACTTTACTAAGGAAGGCGTCGGCATGAGTCACCCGTTCAAGCTGAAGAGCAGCTACAGCAACATCGGGGAGCTGTCCTTCACCAACTACACTCCAACGTTCACCGGCGTCATCGACTACATCTGGTACTCCGCCAATGCGTTCCAAGTCACGGGCCTTTTGGGTGAAGTGGATAAGGACTATCTGGCGTGCGTTCCTGGTTTCCCGAACTATCATTTCCCGAGTGATCATCTTGCGCTCTTGGCGGAGTTTGCGGTGAAGGCGCGGAAGGATAGATAGGTGGGCGCGGAAGGCAAAAGAGTCAGCCGGGGTGCATAGAGCTTTTCTAGAGGTATCCTGAACATCAGAGCGGTGGAACGGCATATTATCCCGGCTATTTGTCGATAGATCCGTTGGAAAGTCGAGGCATTCGGGAAACACTGGTGCTGATGCAGGCCTAGGATTGTGGTGTGATTTTTTTCTCTCTCTTCATCGGGCGCCTCTGCGATCCATTAGGGGTGTGGCATGGACATCCAGGCGTTTGTAAACCATGTGGGAGGAGTTTGAATTTGCGGTTCGTTTTTTCTGCGTGGTGGTTATGATGGGCTTCATGTGTTGTCCTTTCTTTAGGCTAGGTTAGCTGGTTGGCTTTGCAGACCATCAGGGTCTGTGATCTAGTCATCAAGACTCGTCAATAATTCATTCAATTACCCTTGCCCACGTGACGTGCCGTGACCATGAAATGAAATGCGAACGAAGCATGAGAGAAAATTCAATATAGATTTCCGTAATCGGTAAATTCTAATTTACTTTATATATCTCTTTCCGCCATTGAAAAGTAATTCTCTATCTACATGACACGGTGTCCGAGTGGTTAAGGAGTCAGACTTGAACCAAAATTTGTTTGAGCTATCTGATACGTTCGCGTGCGCAGGTTCAAATCCTGTCCGTGTCGATATATTTTTTTTTTTGGGCGGGATATCTTTTTACCATTTCTGATTCAACTATCCAGAGGATACGAAATTCTAGAGGTTCATGAAGGTTGAAGTGCCAGCAGGAGTAGCGAATCTCAGAAATATGGTAGTTACCTACTCCGTAGATATGTCACAATAAATCGTTAGTTTAGGGGTATAGTATTTATAGTGATGCGTACGGAGAACGAATTCTACGCTTCTATTCTTAAACCAGAGTTTCTAAATAGACCTTATTGCGGTTCTATATTCGGTACATGCGGACGGTTATCTTATGACTGGATCTTGCCTATCCACTACTTTCCTAATTTCCTTGTGCCGCCTTCTGTACCTCGTCCAATCTGCCATTGATATGTAACATTTTCAACCATTTGAGAATAACGTACTGATAATAGAACATGTTCCTTGCTGTGTCGCCTGACTGGTGCCTGTCGCGAATCCCAGGAAGAATGTTTACCTGGTGCTGTGCGATGGCATCAAAGAGGGTAATCAGCCTATCGACTTCCCCACCCGGATTCTGGTCTTGTGCGGGCAATTGGTATTCTGGTATCGGCGGGCTTGCATCGATTAGACCTTGTGTGACCCCATAGTATCTAGGTGGTGGCCCTATGAAGTATGGTTCTTCCCCATCGACGGGCATAAGAACGAATAGGTTTCGCGCGACTAGGTTTCGCCAGGCCTCGTCCTTTACCTTGGGGTGCGCTAGATAAATTTCGTCCAAACGTCGCTCGATAGCCCGGATCGCCGCAATACAACTTTCCAAAGTATTTACCTGTGTATCCTCCACTAGGACAAGCATAGCATGCGCAGCGCCGTCTGGCTCAAACAAGTCGGCCAAATCCTCCGACGCCCAGTCTAACCAGTTTAAGGGGAGTTCTTCGTAGTCGTGGAGCTATCTGGGCCACTCATCCAGGCCGTTCAAATACCACAACTGGTTCCCGATAGGTGAATATGCAACAAAATGTTCAAGCGTGCCCTGGGTGAGATTAATTTCACCTGGTGGTACGTTTGAAGTTTCCCCAAGAGATTTTGGCCCTGGTCGCCCCTTGCGGGCGTTTGGGGTGTAGCCTGTGATGACTTTGGCGTCTTGCATGAACATTTCCATCTTCCTCGCGCACGCGTTGTGAGCGCTTCTCAAATCCTCAAATCCGGTGATGTCTTCCCCTCGTTGAACTTGATTATGGCTTTCGGTAGTGGCGAAAAACTCCGCCATTTGCTCGCTATCGATCAATCCATCAGGAAGGTTGCCGAGGACTTTCATCAACGCGATGGTCCCGCATGCATCTGTGATTAGTTGATTCGCAAACCAGATTCCTGGTCGATGGTAGGGTCGCTGCCCTTTATCTAGTGCCCAGTAGGGGCGTCCGACGACAATCATGGCGTATAGTCTGGTGCCATCGGGGAGGCTACCGCTTTGTCAGCATCCCAACAACTTTGTAGAGAACGACCCCAACTCACGCCTGGGAGTCTATAAAGCCGTTATAATCCAGAGCTGTTGCCTGTATCCACCGAAGGTTGGCAAGGCCGAAGTGCCTCATCAACGCGTTGAACGCCCACTTTTCAATGATGAATTAGTGGTCGGACTTTGAACACTGATGTCTAATGTTCCTCTGTGAAGCACTCACCGGTTCACCTTGTAATTTGACCCATCCAGTCCATCCATCCTTCTCTTTTTGGGTAGCTGGCAACAACAATTCATCCACGTTTATAGTGTTATCATACTGGGTGCCTGTCGCCATGGCTAACTTCGAGTGGCCAAGTCACAATAGGACCTGCTATCAATAGAACGGATGCTTGAAGAAAAATACTGGACGACACTGGCGACGAGTTCATAACGTACGGAACATTAATTAGACCCATGATGAAGCAGAGACTCGAGGGACAAGACGACTTCATAGTAGACTGATCAAAGAAAGTGACGCGGGTAGTGACCGGCAGAGGAATGCAGTGTTATTAGACAAAGCAGTTCTGCGAAACTAATATTGATTTCATACGCGTTCGGTTGGACGATTCATCATTGACCTTTTCGTTGTTGTTCAAGAACAAGCTCCTGAAGATAATAGAATACGTCGAGACTGCCGACAATATGGGTCTCCTCCGGACATGGCACCATAGCACCTCCGGCTCCAAGGTTGTCCTGGAGTAACGATATAACCAATGTGCACTCTCCTTTCTGATTGAAATGAATACTCGAAAGCTGAATTGCATTGTTTCCTGGAGGACACGTAGCTGGTGGCTTGCCACGTTGCGGAGAATTTCCAGCGACTTGGAAGAATGAGGACTCTGTAAATGGCTGGTGGCAGCAGATAGGCTCAAAAATAGGAAAATGTACATTTTGTTCGACGCGATTTGAAACCCCTCCTCTGAGTAGCTGAAGATACTAGTTACCTCTGCAAGATGTGAACTTGATGGATGGAGTCACGGAGTTCATGAGAATTGCGAAACAGTCAATGTGCATATTTGTTCCGAGCCGTTGAAGGGAATTTCACGACTATGGACGAAGTCGCAATGTCGCACACCTAATCGCATCATTTGGCCGCATCATGCATGCTATGGTAATTAAAGCCTGGGTCATCGAGATTCGAGACAGCGAATCAAGCCCTTGTGGATGATGTGGCCGAGATCAGAGATCCTGATGTCGGCATATAAATTGCCGTCCAACATGGATTACCAATACCCCCCTTGACGTTATCTCCCCTCAAGATACACCGCGGGACAATCTGAATGCCAGCCCTGGCGGCTGAAGCCTCGCTGTACGGTCACGTCACGTCCCTGTTTCGAAGCACCTTGGATACGATATCTAGCTATCTACCCCCTACACTCTCTTGTATCTTCATTTTCCCATTTTTCCTAGGCCGTGGTCTCTGGACAGAGTTGCTCTGTAATAGTCACTAGCGATTCATCGCGATGTTGCAACAACCGGCTCGAATTGGTTCATTCGTTCTCCACTCTCGCATTCTTTAGTGGCCGACGTGTGCTTCCGCGGTCGCAGTCTCGGCCCACTAGGACAATTTACGGGTCCATCTCGCAAGATATCTGATCAATTATCAGATCAGTTATCAGATCGAAGGGTCCAAGTCCACCAGACTGGACGACACAGGGACAAGATGAGCGCCGAACGACAGCCAGCATGGCTGGGCGCCGACGAGGTGGTCGGCGCATCCAATACTCGAAGTGGAAGTACCGGCGATATCACGCTGCAAGAAGAGGACATTGTTCCGGCGGCCGAGGGAGGAGTCATGGGTTCCAAACAGGTGCAGGATACAGACGAGGAGACGCCTCTGATAAGGAAAACGACTTCTACAACACTGCTGGGGGAAGAGTCTGAAGAGCGCGGAGATTTCGATGGCTTGCCATGGTACAAGAAACCATCCGTGAGTATACGATCCAACAGATCAAACGCATAGACGTTGACCGCTGCAGATATTCTGGATGCTTCCTCCATACCTCCTATCCACGATGGCATTTGGCGGTGTCATGGTCCCGAAATTGAACCTCATCCTTACCCTGATCTGTCGAGAATATTTCGCCGACCAAGCGTTGGCCGACCCTACCTTCACATACCTCCCGGTCGTCTTTGGAGAAGAGAACGAGCAGTGCCGTGACGCGGGGGTGCAATCGCGTGTTGCACAATTCAACCTTGCAGGAACCGTTATCTCGGGCCTCCTCGCAGCTCTTGTGAGCCCGAAACTGGGCGCACTGTCCGACCGATACGGGCGGAAGCTGATCATCGTGCTCACGAACTTCGGGATGTTCAGCGGCGAGATTATTACTATATTTGCCGCCAAATATCCCGATATCATCTCCGTATATTGGATTCTAGTTGGGTTCGTCTTCGATGGAATGTGCGGCTCGTTCATCACGTCCATGGCTCTTGCGCATTCGTATGCAACGGACTGTACGCCTCCATCGAAGCGGAACGTGGCGTTTGGATACTTCCATGGCTGCCTTTTCACGGGAATTGCTATCGGACCCATCGTTGCAGGCTACATCGTCAAGAAGACCGGGACCGTCCTGCCGGTCTTCTACTACGGCATCGCGGCACACATTCTCTTCATCGCCTTACTCGCCTTCGTTATCCCCGAGTCCCTCAGCAAATCCCGCCAGCTGCTCGCGCGGGAAAAATACCGCGTCAAACACCTCGCCTCCGGGCCTCCCTCCTTTCTCTCCTCCCTCCGCCCCGCCAACTTCTTCGAACCCCTCCGCATCCTCTACCCAACTGGCCCCGGATCCTCTTCCGCGCTCCGTAGCAACCTCCTCGTGCTTGCCGCCGTTGATACCCTTGGGTTCGGCGTCGCCATGGGAGCCTTCCAGATCATCGTCATTTATAGCAACTTCATGTTCGGCTGGGACACATACACGCAGTCCTTGTTCATCTCCATCGTCAACACCTGCCGCGTCTTCGGGTTGCTCGTCATCCTTCCACTGCTCAACGGCTACGGCCGCAGGTGGCTCACGGGCACTACCCACGTGTCGCGGAGTGGTTCGGACACTTTCGAATTGAACATCATCCGTGTGGCGGTCATGATTGACACCCTAGGATTTCTGGGATACAGCTTTGCCAGGGATGGGAAGCTGTTCACCCTCAGCGGCATCGTCGCGAGCTTTGGCGGTATGGGGGCGCCGACGTTGCAGAGCGTCTTGACGAAGCATGTCCCACCAGATAAGACGGGGCAATTGCTTGGAGCGCTGGGACTGTTGCATGCTCTGGCAAGAGTGATCAGTCCGACGATCTTCAACGGCATCTATAGTGCAACGGTGGGGAAGTATTCTCCAACGGTGTTTATATGTCTGACCGCGACGTTCTTTTTGGCGTTCGCGTGCGCTTTATTCATCAGACCGAACGGTGAGTCTTGAGTATCCTGAATGATGAAATACATGGGACTAATTGAATATGTGTAGTGTATCTCCCCGAGCAAGAAGAGTATCATGATGACGATTACAGGGAAAACGACGAGCTTCTGGCTAACTCCTGAACTCAGCGACTAGGTTCTGAGTCTGGAATAGACATACTAGAGTATATAGGCCATCTGGGCCACGAACTTCTGACGATCTTACGCATGCACTTGGATTTGTGGACATCACGGGTGTCTAGCGTTCGTTCAGGGATGATTGTATATAGTACCTTGAAGCGTTGTTTATATCGTACATTTTATTAAGCATTATGATTGTGGCATGAGCTACATTATTGCACCAACGACCTAAAATCAAATCGTACAGTCCTACAGTCTCCGGTTGAGCTCGAATCATCGTTCACGTCCCCCGACCATTTCGAAACATCCTCCAACTACGTCTCCTTCCACTCCGTCCTCCCCAACCTGATAATATCACTCTGCCCCAACTCCCACACCCCCTCCTCCCTCTTCCCCTCCACACAATCCAACCCAGCCCTCACCGCCGCCCTTCCAATCACCCTCGCCTCCGCCGCCCACGAATCCGTCAACGCCGTACTCACGCTCCCCAACCCCCTCCCGAACGTCCGGATCACCCACTCCACCACCCGCGTCTCCTTCCGGTCCCCCAGAATCATCCCCGGCTTTACCAACACCACATGCTTAAACCCCAACCCCATCACCGCCTCCTCCAACTCCCCCTTCATCTTTATGTAAGGAAACCGCGAGCTCGCGTTCGCCCCAGTCGACGAAATCAGCACATACGTGTCCACCCCCGCGGCCTTCGCCGCCTTCGCGAGCGCGAGGTTCAGGTCCAGGTCGATTTTTCGCTGGTTCTCGAGACTGCCGGCAGCGGCGCGGGTGGTGCCGAGGCCAGAGAGGAAGAGTTGGGGGACGGGGGTGGTAGGGAAGGAGGAGGGCCAGGTGGAGGGGTCGCTGGAGGTGAGGGAAGTGACGTTGGGGGATGAGGTGGGGAGGTCGCGGCGGGTGTAGGCATAGATTTGCTTGATGGCGGGGAGGCTGGTGAGAGTATCAAGGATGAAGGAGCCCTGAGAAGATGGAAGTTAGTGCGTATTCTATTGACGGAGGGGTTACTGGTGGAAATATGCATACGACCAGCCCTGTGCTTCCTGCGAGAACTGTGGTCGTCATGGTGTCGAGTGGTTGGACTGCTTGGGGTGATCCTGAATGGCGTGGAATTTCAATCACAAGTGTCTGGTTATTCTCTTTCGGTTGAATTGCACTGAGCCTTTCAATGGACAGGAATGAGGCAATATTAAATGCTGTGATGCAAAGGCATATTAACGTTACCCAGCGGAGATAATTGGCCCGGCCACCGCATGCGGCCACCAGGGTGCTCCAGCCTCCGCCCTCCAGGCCTCCAGCAGCCCGCACTCCGCAGTGCTTAGTAAGCCTTAGTAATTTATTAGTTTGGCTGTTCAACTTTCAGCTAGTTTCAACTTTCAAACTTTCAATACATATGGCGCAGCACGGACTTAACAACAAGAACGCCCCTCAAACCGTCGGTCACGCAGGCGGCGTCCCTGATGGGCCTAATTTTGACGTCACTGCCTTCCTTGACTCCTTATGGTGGTCGGTGACATTCTTTCATCAACCAATTCTCATCCCGTTCACATACGACAGATCCAAGTTTATCTCCAGAGACCGGAGATTTCAAGTCGAACAACGTTAAACTACAGAAGTCAGAAGATGCCTTTCATAGCGTTCAACTTAGTTAGTAATCTGTTCATTTAGCAGCACTGGAAGACCACCCTGAAATAATATCTCGACCCATTGTCTGTACTACCTGTCAAGCGTATGCTACGTCTCAATTTAGTCTTATGAGGTTGTATAGGTTTGAATTTTTTAGATCTTCTTTGTCAATGCTACTATCCATTATTCTATCAACCGCAGTTTTTGTTGAGGATCCAGGGTCTGCATACTGCCGATGCCTGGCTTCATACGCCTGCATCTTTGCACCATATAACCAGCCTTTGTTTGATGGTATGTTACGAACTTGTGTTACACAGTACTATTCATTAAAGATTCGCCTTCCATATATATCCAATTTATTGTTCAAGCATCAGCTTACTAGATTTCCCCCGCTCTACTGATGATGTCTACACCGTCTCATCAACATATCAATCCTATCTGGCCAGCATCATTGACATTCACCCCCTTGGCCAGCTGTCCCCGTGGGAGCATATGAAGTCTTATTCCACTTCAGCAAGAAAAGAGGATGCGATCATGTGCCCGAAACTACAGGAAGGAACTTCAAAGCAGATCGCTGAACGGATATGGCTTTTACATAATTGTAGGTAAGTATGTCATCGCCATCCCTGGGTTCGATACCAGCCTCCTAAGCAGCAGTGTTGATGAGCACCTAGCGAGAGACAATGCGATAACAGCAGAGCTAACACAAAGGCGTTACTACCTAAGCCTCTCTACACCGCTCGATCATCGTGTTGACGAGGCAGGCGATCTGGCAAATGATCACTGATTCAACTAGATATCACGAAAACTGAATCTCATCACCTTCGCTAGAACCGCTGACTCGCATGCTCTGCTTTGTAACACCGCCCAATGAGTGTATCAATACGCTGTGCTTGCCTTTGTTGCTTTGTCTGGTACCGATCACAATGTCTTTGTATATATTTTCTCTTCTCTACCATATATATATATCTCTGAGCCCTTCCATCTCTACCAGCTTTCTTCTTTCCTCAGAACCCAAGCAGGCTCAACACTTCGATGAACTCTTCGTGCTAAATGGGAAACTGTTCGTCGAATGTTGAGCGCAGATCCCACAAGACCATGCGTAAGAGCCCCTCCGATCTCAATAAGGCCCCGACACCACCTATCCCGGAGATAGTTGTGTCTGGTCCTCACTGTGACGAGCCGCATCCTGTTGGTTATTCTGCTGCTGCTCCTCCTAATGTTAACCGCACCCATCTAGTTCCCCCAACCCCTTATTGGAAGGTAAAACAGGACCTGAAGCCCAAGCAGCTTCAGCAGCGTCAGCAGCTTCAGCAACCGTACACGACCATGAAGGCCGAATACTACGAGCGTCGACGCCCTGTGAGCCCTTGGTACTACTCCCGGTCGTCCAGGGCAACTGGCGCCACCCCGACCCGCAATCCCGCTACCAGATCCAAGCCGCGAACCGAGACCCGTTATCGAACCGTTCGGCGAGCTCCACCCCGCCTACCGCTTCGGACTCCCGCGCGTCACGATTACGCTGCCGACTACCGATATATTCGCAGCACTCCCGGCGGCGTTACATCTGCATTCTCCTCCGACTCTTCCTCGTCTGTTTCTGATACGGGCTCGGTCTACGAGATCAACGACCCTCGGGCGAAGAGACTTTGGAGGCAGTCGATTGCCCGGCATCGTGCGGCGGAAAGAGCGCGGCACATCGCGAATCAGAACTTCGTGCAGAAGAACCCACGGACGAAGCCGAAGAAGCAGTCGATTCGTCGTAAGTTCACCAGGTGGCTGAAGAAGTTGCTTTGAACTACATCGTTCATGACACTCTACTAACCCTTTAGACCGAATTTCCAACGTTGATACAGCTGTTCGCTAAATGTTTCCTTTGTCAATGGGATTATAAGGGTTCTAAATTGTCACCGCAAGGCGTTTAGGAAGGTAATTTGAAATTTATCCTGCTTTTACTACTGTAACAATTCCAATTCATGCTAATTATTCCTATATATCTGAAGCTATTTCCATGTATCTTGCAGCATCATCAGACGCCTCATAGTCTCTGCACTCATTGAGCTCCTCCGCACTCCCAAGAGATCTCTTCCCCCACTTAACAGTCTTTCGACTGATACCCCAGAGGCTGGTATAGCCAAATAATCTCTGGCAGCTGCAGCCATACGTGGGTACTCATGGTAATGAGACCTCCACCAAGAGAGCAACCAGTCCTTCTCTTTCGTCGTCGAGTTATCCACTATCACAGCTCCATCTTGAAAGTACCGATCGATATCAGACAAGCATTGCTTTTGTGGTTGCAACTTCTGTAACACTCGAGCTTCAACACTCTTTGCCTTCCTTCTATTACCCTCAGCGGATACGGGCTGCTCTGCTGTTGATGAATATTACTCATGTAACAAGCCTTCTATGTTCTTAACTACATCCTAAGCCGTTGCTTCTCCTAACTCATTTTCAAGTAGTAGTGTTTTGAACCGCCGATCAAGCACTTGAGCGACCGAGTACGTATCCTGCCCATCCATGAGATCACAATACTCCTGGAACTTCTGTAGATCTGGGGACATAGCTGCCACAATATCCGGATGAAGACCTGAAAACTCTCCTTCTCTAGAAGCGACATCATGTAAAATGTCGTGCAGCTTATAGTAGATCGATATCGCCAAACTGATCCGCGGCGGACGCTCCGAAACAACCAGAGTACACTCGTCAAACTTTGCAAGGATGCTCTCAATTTGCTCAAGAAAATCCCAATCTTCGATCGTAAAAGGTGGAAGACGTTTTTCATGGTCGGTCCACTTTTGAATCTGTTGCTTTGCACCCAGTCCATCTCTCAGCATTCGTCGGGTCGAATTCCAACGCGTATCGACGTCGTACTCGATGAACTTGTCATTCAATCGATGGGTCTGACAGAGAAGTTTCCACTGCAGCTTCCGCTGCGGCGACCTTGCAATCCAGCAAGCTATAATTCGAAGTCCAATCTCCCAATAACTAAAGATGCTGGTAAAGCGTCCTGGGAATTCTCAGGCTTCTAGTTAGGGGGGGTTTTAAAAGTTATTTTCCCTCAGCGCTTTCATTCTCGTACCAAGACACCCCGTACTAATTAGTGCAACCTTTGGTTGAGTACTTTGGAGCTCTTCAAATTTTGGGTAAGGCTATGTCTACACGTAACGTTTGCTCCGCCTACACGTCCCGTATTGCTAGACCTACACGTATCCATAAATGGTTTAGCGTATATTTCTAGAGGGATTCCTGCCACCACCAAGATATCGACATCAAGACGTGAGATTCGCGCAAAACAGGCAAAAAAAGAGTAGATACTAATCAGAGATCGAGCGTCATAAATATCGCCCCTCCTGAGGTCCTCCGTGTATCCCCAGGCACGTCTCCAGTCCCCATTCCAACCCAGGCACCACGCCCACCCCGGGTACCACGCCCACCCCGGG